GGAGCAGCGGGCGGGTCAGGAGAGGTCTGCCACGCCACGTGGTCTCCTCCGGGGCAGGCGGGAATCGAACCCATGCGGAAGCGGCTCTTAGATTCTCAGTGCTGTGCTTCAACCCGCTGCGCCACCAGGGAGGGCCGGAAGTGATCTTTTAAAAACAGTAACTAGCCTTACTTTAATTTGAAAAGAGGTCCTTTAGGAAATGTGATTATTAAAACTGTCTTTTCTGTCATCAGTCCATAAGCTGGCAAAAATAAAGACACATACACACAGGAATAATAAAACCCCCTGACAGAAACTTGATACTCTAAAGAAAAAAAATGAAAGAAAAAAAAGAAAACCTACTCCTACGAGTAAAAAAAAAAAAAATCATTTAAAATGTAAAAAAGTAAAAATTTACATATTTTTTAATATGGTAAGGGTGTGTCTACAAATAACATCAAGACATACAATAAACATAACAAACATCAAGGTGCCACAAAGATAGCTAATCCTATTAGCTAAATAAATGGCTACTCTCCTTCATAATCATCATACCTTAACACTTCTACTTATATGCACCATGCACCTCTCTGCATGCACCATGCATCTCTCTATATAAACTAAGAAAAGAAGAAAGGTAAAAGCAAAGAAAGGACTTGGGGCAAACAGGTTGTATAAGCTTCAAGAAGCTAAGGGAACTTCAGTGCTAATGCTCCAGAATCTAGGAGTCTTGTATATATAGTAGGAACTCAATAAATACTTACAGAATAACTATCATTTTTATCTGAGAATTTACAAATCACCCCCAAAAATGAGGATGAAAGATAAAACATTGTTTCTTACATATAATATGTAATCTATAAAATACAGATGTTACAATGTCCTTTAAAATGGCTCTGAGAACTCACAGGAATAATGTACATTTTTGGATTAGATCAGTAAATACTTCAGTACCATTTGTGGTGTGAGTTAAATTTCAGTTTTACAAATTTAGTTAACAATTAAGTTCTAATACTTGCATGGGTTTCAAGTAGAAAAGTATAGAGAGATCAATATTAATATAAAACAAGTAACAAAACTTACTGTTTGTCTTTTAAAGGAAAAAACAACATGAAAATTGTTTTGGTCAATAAAAATTTTTACAACTCAGTTACAGAACATACCACTTTCAACAATTATGATTTCAACAGCAGAAAACATCAGATAACATACCTTGTTTAATTTTGCCCCCAAACTGGTCTTCCAAAAGCCCATGGACCACTAATTTATAGATCATGGCTTGAGCTCGTTCCAAATCAGCTAATCCCAAAGCTCTCTTTATGGGTGACCTCATGACTGCTCGCTTCACCATGTGTCGCATCAAGAATTGCAGGGCTGCACGCATCTCCACATCTTCATGAACAACTGGAGAGCTTGCACAGTCTGAGTTGTGACCATTTTCAGCCAGAACTTTTGGTATCAACAACAACTCAGCATATTTACTACAGCCAAGAAGAGCACTAAGTGATTTCATAGCACCAAGGTAGAGATAGGACAGCTGGACTGCTCTGATTTCTGACTGGGCTATGTCATGGTTCTTAGACATGTGTTCATGATTTTTTCTTTTTCCTTCTGTTATTTGATGCTGGGGTTCCACACCTGGCAGTGTTGGATCTAAAGAAAATGAAGCTATTTCATTTTCTGATTTGGAGCTTGTGGTACCCACACTTTTGGCATCATCAGATGGCAAACCTGTTCGCATATCTAAAGTAGATTCATTATCAGTTTTCTGCTCAACATCCCCTTTCTCTTCAGACTCATGTCGGTGTTTCTTTTCATGTCGCTTGGCGCTCTGTTTACCCATATCTTCGTGAATGCCGGTCAGATACGTGAGGTCCAGCAGCACAGAAGCTGTCAGTCCCCGGAATCTTGCCACATCAAACGGAAGTGGTTCACAGGGTTCCAGATTATACAATGGAGTATCACTAGGCGACCAAAAAGTTGGGAAGCTTTAATAAAGATCAGAATGACACAGGAAGAAGCAAGTGAGGGATAGACAGGAGGAAGGTACAGAACATAATGTAGACAAAATACGATGCATCATGTACACAGTACAGAGAATAACTTATACAAACTAGAGAAGTAATTATAAACACAGAGAAAAATGAGTCTATTATGAGAAAATGGGAAGATACAATGTTAAAATATAAAAATCAATGAAATGCAGATGTACTTTTAAAATTTCACTATTAAATAATGTAAACAAATATCTTTTAAAGAGCCAAATAGTAAGTATATTTTTCAGACCTGATGGGACATATGATCTCCATTGCAATGTGTCATCACAGAATGAAAGCAGCCAATGATATACATAAATAAAATCATCGCGGCTGCAGAACTTTACAAAAACGAGGAGATGAGTTGAATGTAGTTTGTAGAATCCTGATGTAAGCTATTCGAAAACTTATGTAGTAAATCTAGGTCCTCCTCATTATGTGGGAAACATCCATTTATAACCAATCCCAGAGAAGCACTGTTTAATTAAAAAATTACTTCACAATCTTCAATTAGTGCTTCTAATTTACAGTTTAAGTAAAACATGAGGATATATTCTGATATTTGTCAAGAATTTCCTAAATCAAAAAAAATGTGTAATAAGTATATATATTTAGCAAGTATATAAGGTTTTGTGATATGTATTTGTTGCACTAACCAAAATCTAAATTCTAGCTTAACCTTCTTAATCTTATTTTCTGTCTAATTTTTAATTGCTTTAATTTATTTTGTTTTATTGTATACATCTTAATAAATAACTATAAATCCCTGCACAAGCAACAAAGGATAAAAGAAAAGGTAAATACCTTTCACAAAATAATGTACATTTTTCACTTGTTTCATAGCTTGTTTGAGGGAGGGGATGGATTATATTAATCCTTGAAATTGTGTGTAAATTTTATGTGTGAGCATTTTTTTTAGTTGAAAAGGTCCACTGCTATCATTTGATTCTAAAATATTCTTGCCCACCAAAAATACTTAATAACTACTGTTTTACATATTATCCAATGTCACATAAATAACTAAAAAGGAATTGCTTTAGACAGTATAATAGTTACAACATATCTCAATAAATCCCTATTTCAAACTATCTAGAGTCACATAAGTACCAATGAAGATACTTAATATATAATTCCTTTTAAACATGTAAAAGTTCTGTCTCACACAAATCATCTTATCTGATTGAAAACACATGTAAATGCCTTTGATTACATAATCCGTGTCAAATAAGTGTGATTTCTTATCTACCCCAAATGTTATACACTGAGGCAATAGAAATAGAAGCTTTTAAAAGAAAAGCAAAACAAGAATGCTTAAAATCATAGAAAATCTGAAACCTAATTTTGGTCGCTATCTACACTCAAGGCGCTCCCTCATAAAATCAAACTGATGGATCTTTTGGCTGAGTTTTTTCTTCCTGTTGTGTAATAGCAATGATTAGAAAGCAGAAGTCACATGAATATTAGAAAGCCTTCAAGGTATACCTGTTAAATCTAAACCAATGAGTTTACCATTCCTTCACAAAACAAAACACTGTATTATTTTACAAACCATTAATAATCCAAGGTACATAGGTTTAGGAAATATTCCTTTATAAAGTTACAATACTCATCAGCTGTATTGAAAAAATTCTTTATACAAGTTAACTGGCAGCATTTAAACACATAATCACTATCTATATACAATGGCCCATTTCACCATTAAATACTTGTTTGCCAAAAGTGTAACTCAACAGATCATACCTGATGGTAATTTCTGCTTCATCCCATTGGACCTTGGCAGAAGTGCTGCCCTCTTTGACCACTCCCAGCAGCGTGGCATGGCGCCCAGTTTGCTTGTGAACACACCGACCTCCAACTCTAAGGCCAGCATCAACTCCTCCTATCACTGCCAGCACAGGCCACACCTCCATGCACAGTGTCCTCAGCTGCAGCTCTGAGAGGTCAGCAAGGCCATGTCTACTGTGTTTACCTTTCTCTTCCTCTTTGCTTTCCTTCTCCTCTCTCATTTCATTTTCCTCTCGGCTTTGAACCGAACGGCTCTTCTTTAGCTTCTGACCTGACTCTTTAATGCATATCTTAATTTTGTGCAATCTTTCTATCATTTTTTTGTTAATGCAGTAAGTCCAACGGTCTGTTCGATGAAGGATACGGATAAGCTGAATAGTGGCTTCTGCCAGCACTGCTGATACTGGACTACAAATGGGATCTCCTGGAAGTAAGTCTCGTGGTGTGCCACGCATCTGCATGTCACAAATTTTCACCTATACAAGAAATGAAGGTGGCAGATGTGGAATATTAATAGTTTGCTTAAACTATTACTTGCAAAAAATTCTAGCAAATGTAATTCTGTGTTAAACTAATATTATGCTACTGGCCCAAAGTGAGCGGATGTTACAGATCTATTAAAGTTAGTATCAGTTTGATCCTGTGATAAGCTGCCCTATTATTTAAACTTCCTGCTGACTGTGAGTTCAGGTGCAGCTACCTTAAAGATATATCAAAGTGTAAGTGTCTGACTTAGTTTATGCACAAAGACAAAATTATGGATATAGGTTACTGAACCTATGAATATGAACCTATGAGTACCTAACCTATGAATATAGGTTACTGAAATCTCTCCTGTCTGAACACACATTTCAAATAAGACAGAGGGTAAAAGAAGAGCAAAACTTAAATTCAAATCTTAACTCTTGACAATTTGGGGGAATTATTTAGTCATGCTAAACCTCAGTTTTTTCATCTGTAAAAAGAATTAGCGCTTCTAATAGTATCCACCTCTTATGGTAATTTTAAAAATAAAGTGAGCCATGGCAAATAAAGCACTATAGTACAGCACAAGCCACAGGTAAATTAAAAAAAAAAAAGTTAACTATTATTTGTACTTTTGTTATCAGAGATTCTGAACAGAAAAATTTTCTGGGCAGATTAAATTGATTACTACATAGTCTGAGGCTGAACAAATTCCTTCAAGTTTCAAAAATGATGGGGAGCAAATCTAATAAGTACATATCAGGATATATTTCAAGTTGCAAGAACATTATCAGGAAAGAGACAGTATCAGGAACCTCTTCATCTCCAATTTAATTCTGCTGACTACCTGTCTAAAAGGCACTTTCCTTTTCTCATGAATAATTAACCTAAAACTATACCTTCTTGAAATAATTAAAAAAAAAATACTTCTGTTATTCAGCTAATGGTACCTAGTTACACTTAAGATTATTTCTAGACCTTTCTCTCTCTCGCCTATACATAACTGTTAAAGAATTAAATTGGGGCCCTTCTTGGTGGTGCAATGGGTTAAAGTGCAGCACTATGAAGTTAGCCACAGCCACTGCAGCTCAAGTTCAATCCCCGGCCAGCGAGTGACCCACACGGCACAGCTGACCTCTCCTGGCTCTCCTGCTGCTCCCCTCAAGGGGTACTTCATCAGTCTGTCTGTTCTGCTCCCCACTCTGTCTCTGGTGAATGCATTCATAGCCCCTGCACCTCTGCCTGCACCCCAGTTCTGTATGTATAAATAAATAAATCTTTAAGAAAAAGAACTAAATCATTCTTAAGCTATTTCCTATAATTCCATGTTTGACAGTTGACTCAACTATATTCAAAAGTACCAAAATATCAAATAATGCCTTAAGAAATAAAGATAATTTCTAAAATTATCTAGCCATACTATATAATCATATAGTTTCTGAGATGAAACTATATGAGCATGTATTTTTAACTGCAGAAGTAATTTATTTCTATCTGATGCAAACAAAATATTAATAAAAATAATGACAAATATCCTTTAAGTTTAGTATGAAGATTTAAGTTGTATTACCTTTTCCCCTGGATTGCTACTATAGAACATTACACATGGGTACAGCTCTGATGCATCCACATCTTCAAAAGCTAATTTGGGTTCCTATAGTATGACAGAGGTGATAAAAAAAAAACTTTTTAAAATTGTTAATATTCAACCATCACATTACTACAGCTGGCAGCCCTCCATTCCACATGTGACTATGCAGTTGCCACTCTTTTTCTCCTTTTCCTAATAAACTTTTTTCTTTTAAAATGTAAAATAAATAAATAAAATTACTAGTCAATTTTCAGTTAACCTTATTAACCAAGTTAATTCCACCTATAATAAATGATTCTAATTTATTTGTTTCAACATTACTGGAACTGTGCTGTTTTTTCTGCTAAATACTTTAAGAATCTAAAGTTATTAGAGGAAAAGCAGAGAATAATACTTAAATAACTGAGTTGAGTGTTGAGAAAACAATGTGTATGAATGAGTTTCAGTACCTCTCCATTCTTTCCAAAGGAAATGGTCCTGGCTTCCATGTCTAATACACAGGTAATGAAATCTCCTTGTGTAAAGCTGGACAACGTCAGGGTCTGTTCACCATTGTGATAGAGGTTACCACTGTAGGCACGATACAGCCACATATCCGAGGTAGTACGGTGGTTAAAGTCATGTACTGGCCAGCGAGAAACTCCAACACATGTACCTTCATTACCTCTGTTTTCCTTCACAATGTAAAACTAAAATGAAAATGGTAATGTTCATTAGTATTCAAAAAACCTGCTATTAACTGCATAAAGCAATCCTGGGATGTATGTTTATAAAATATATTTATGTATTAGGAACATCATAAGTGTATTTCAGCCTAAGTGAAAATAACATGTCTTAGTCTTATGTATAACTATATCTGAGTCCTATGAGTATTTTCCCAAATCTTTGAATACAGGGGTGACTCTAGGATACCTGCCAGTGGTCACAACAATGAAATTCACTAGAACAACATCAACTAGTTAAAATATAGTTACATTACAGCAAGAGAGACATTAACCAAAACAAAAAGACACCCTACTAATGGGAAGAAAATTTTTGCACACAATACTACCTATAAGAGACTGGTCACAAAGATCTACAAAGAGCTGAAATGACTCAACAAAAACAAAAATGGGTAGAATAACTAAACAGAATTTCTCCAAAGAGAAAATGCAAATAGCCAACAGGTACATGAAAAAATGTCCTACAAAACTTGTAATCAGGGAAATGTAAATCAAAACCAAAATGAGATACCACCTTATACCAGTGAGAATGACAGATATTAAAGAAACAGGAAACAAACAAATGCTGGCAAGAATGTGGAGAGAAAGGAACTCTCCTACAATGCTGGTGGGAATGCAAACTAATCCAACCACTATGGGAAGCTGTGTGCAGGTTCCTCAAACTACTAAAAGGGGAGCTTTCATATGACCGCAATTCCATTCTTAGGAATCTACCCAAAGACACAAAAACATTAATTCAAAAGGATATCTTCTGCACTCCTATGTTTACTGTAGTACTTGTTACAATAGGTAAGATAAGGAAACAGTCCAAATGCCCAAAAACAGCTAAGTGGATCAAGAAGATACGGTGTGTGGTGAGTAATAGAATATTACTTAGCAATCAAAAGAGATAAACTCATGCCATTCACAGCAACATGGATGGAGCTGTTAAAGGATCATGCTTGGTGAGATAAGCCAGAAAGAAAAAGAAAAACTTTGGATGGTTTCACTTATAGGAGCAATGTAGGAGAACCTAATTAAGGGGTCAGGGGAAAAAATAATTATAATAAATTAAAAATCAAAATAAACAGGTAACTATAAATCACAGATATTCTGCAGGGGAGGGGGAGGGATGAGCACAATGGACTATGGTGATGGTATGATGGTACATGGTGAACTGATGGTTGGGAAGTTATGTGGTCTACATACATTATATAAACATACATTATATAACATACATACATTATATAAACATACATTATATAAACATACATTATATAAAGAGGGATAATTATGCAAAATATATATAAAATTAGATAGTTTGCTAGATAGATAGAGCTAAAGTATTATTTAGGGAAAAGAAAGTAGAGAAACAGGAAACTATGGTGCCTGATGGCTATGCAGCTATATATTTTATGCCTCTTTTAGATTTTTCACCAATAGGTCAAGGGAATCATCAATATCTTGCTATTTCTGCAGCTGGACAACTTAAATCTTACTCATCATGCTGAACTGTTCCTTTTCAGAAAAGTAGATAACATCCAAAAATTTTCTGATGCATTTCTTTTTAACTGTTGTGGCTTGCTGAATCAAAGCAGCTGAATTTGACACAAGTTCAGTGTCATTTTGTTCTTCAAGAATTAACTCATCTTTCTGGGCTTGAGATAATGAACTATGAGCCATATATATTATGAAACAGTAGGTAAGCTGCTATTATGGAGGTAAAGGTTACCTAAGGAAAAAAAAATTATAAATATACCCATAAGAGAACTAACTTACTGGAGACTCAGGCTACTTTTGACCTTATTAGCTAAAGGGAAGAAAACAGAACAACCAGAATAAAATATGTGTAGTCCTCTCTTGCTCTCTTCTCCAAGAAAGAGGGAAAGAATTTTAAAAAAGCCATGAAAAGTGAGTTTTGGTTGAACCAAGAATATTAGAAGTATGTGTCAGTCTTTCTCTCAAGTGAGAAGGAAAAAGGTTAAATCAATCCCCAGAACAAAGGAAAGTTTTAAATAGACTAGAAGGAGGGAGGGAGGAAGGAAAGGGGGGAAGGGGAGGGAAGAGAATCCAAATCAAAAGCTGCAGCTCTTTGCCACATCTACTATGAGAAAGATCATCCCCAGCAATCAATCAGAACATTAAAATGCTGACTTCCCCCTGAGCGATTCATGATTACTTGAAGGGCTCCAGAGGCACCCTGCCAAGGAACTTCAATCTCATCACTGTCAAACTCAGTCTCCTTAGGAAAAAAAAAAAAAGGTTCAAGGTTGACAAACAATGGGGAAACTGAGGGGAACTGGTCACCATTTGCACTATCTGTGATCACACACAGTACATAAGCAAGGATGCTGCCCTGGGCTTCGACAGCTCTGTATATGCTCACTTCCCCACCAATGTTGTTATTGAGTATGGGCTGCTTGCTGAAATCTGAAATTTCTTGGGCAAAAATTACATTCTCAAGGCTAGGCTATGGCCAATTATTGCCAGTTCAGTATCTCAATTCCAGAAAGATGAGTTAATTCTTGAACAAAATGACACTGAACTTGTATCAAATTCAGCTGCTTCGATGCAAGCCCACAACAGTCAAAAACAAAGGCATCAGGAAATTTTTATGATACATCATCAGGAGACAATAAGTCATGATTGGAGGGATAAAAGCTGCAAAGTTTGAAAAACACATTAGTAGAATATAATTTCCTTGTTTTTTGGCCACTAAGGGCAGAATAAAATTTAAATGTTATGAATTTTGTCTTTGTAACTGATGATTTTTAACATAACTTTTTTGCCTATTGGTGTCTCTGGAGAAAGGGAGACAAAAACAAAAAGAATGGCAAACTTCACATTCTTTTAGAGTTTAAAAAAGCAGTTTTTTCTTGTCAATGAGTTCTTGAAAAATCAGATTTCTAATCCTTAGAAGCTGATGATTTTCCAGTCTTTGAGTAGGTAAACTTGGTTTCTAAGACTGACAAGACAAAAGAACTTAGGAAAATCTTGTTTGTCACTTAGATTTAAAACATAGTTGTCTGTTCGAACAGCTTCCAGGAATTATTACTGTTGCAAGAGTCACTAGCTTTTTAGAATTTTGAACAGAATTGCCTGGACCTGACTCTAAGCTAAAACCTATTGGCTATGGGCTTCACACACGTGAGCTGTGATCAACTAAAAGTAGGAACCAATGAACAAAACTCAAATTTGGGATTGCTGCAGTTGAGAATACTTCTCTGTGGGGTCATGAACTATGAAAATATTATGAATTCTGGCTGGACATTCTGAACAGGTACTGGGAAAGGACCATCTAAGTTTGAGGAGCTTACTGGTTCTGTATCTCTGAGAAAGATATTAATTACATTCCTATTTTGTAACTCCTGCCAAAGTTGAAAATTAAATTATGACCCATTTGTTCACTTGTAACAGACTGGGCTCTGACCTCCTCTTCCTCTTCAGGATGCACCACTACTGCTGATTTATAGATAAGCTACAGTTAGCAACAAAGTTCTGATAGCTTGACTCTGCATGTCTCATCCTTTCCCTAATCCGTATCTTTTAATAAGGCATCTTATCACAAAAGGGTCTTCCCAGAAAGAGATTTATCTGCTCACTGTATAAATGATTAGGATAAAAGAGGTAGAAATTTTTATAAACTTTTAAATTATTTTTTTAATTGGGTTTTGTTCTGACCAATTCCTAATTTTTCTGGTTAAGTTATGTGAAAATTATTTTGTCCCTCTTGCATGCAGCCCCTCTGAACAAGAGATCTAAATGAAAATAACAAAATGATTGAAATTTTTAAAGTTATAATTCCTAAATGGAATACACTGATATTAGGAGAGGGAGGAAAAATCAAGGTCCTGGAGAAGTGTAAAGGAATCTTTGTTTTTCTACTGGGGTGGTAACTGGGGTGGCTGGACTGATCTATGTTGTCTTGCAAGCTGCTGTGAACCTCTTAAATTCAAATTGTTGAGCCTCCCATCTTAACCCCCCTGCCCCCCACTATAAGACAGCAGGGGGCCCTAGGTCCTGTACTTTTCTTACATATATCTATTATATTTTATATTTTTTTACATCACTCTTTATTTTCTGCATTTTTCATCTCAGTTGTAATCCCTATGGCTTCCTATCACCAATTCACCCATGTGCCATCACCATAGTCCAGTGCACTCTTCACACCCCAGTTCTGATCCAATTCCCCTTTCACCTCCATAAAATGTCTCTTGTTTATAGTTGTTCATTGTTTTCATTTCTTTTTTTTTTTAACCCCCTTGATCCCTTACGCTCCTGCTATTGAGTGAAATCATCGGTATTTTTCTGTTTCTTTCTGGCTTATTTCACTAAGCATGATCCCTTCCAGCTCCATCCATGTTGCTGCAAAAAGCATGAGTTTATCTTTTTTGATCGCTGAGCAATATTCCATCATGTATATGGAACCACATATTTTTAATACAATTATCTATTTTTGGGCATTTGGGTTGATCAGTCCTATACTTGTCATGGAATACCTATGAAAAAAAAAGTCTGGAGACCACCGTATTCTTGAGGCACATGAAATGATACATAGACAAGCAAAATCATTGAACTGATTGCCTCTAGGCACTCCTCTGAAGCGCAGACTCAACTATTCAGACTAGAAACACCTGGAACACAGGGTGGGTAGAGTCTGGTTAATCTGTATTGCCTGAATACTGTACATCCTGATTAAGGATTGACGTAGGCTATGCTACCCATGCTGTCTTATGACAAGGTGTGGGCAGTGGGGGAGACTCCCAAGAAGATGAAGGCTGCTTGGTTCCCAAGAAGATATACTAAGGGGAGTCTCCATAGCAATGCTTACTGAACTACCTTGTACTTGTTCTTGGCTAATAGCAATTGTATTTGACCATCAATTGATTCCTGGCCCTCTTTTGTTTGCAGCCTAATTGGGCATCAAGAACTGGTTACAAAAAATGTTTAATAACTGACAGTGGTTTTCTCAGAAAAGTACATTAGCATAAATCAAGAGTATAGAGACTGTGTTTAGGAATATGGATAAGCATGAGCAGAATGTGCCTTCTCCTGGGACAGTTTGGAAGGATTTAAAGAAACAGATCTGAATTTAGATTTAACCTGAAAAAAGACTGTTCAAAGGAGGACTTAATGATTTGCTGCTTTATTTGAGATGCTGACTAGAATGATTGATCATGGTAAAAAAAAATGGGGATGCTGATTGTTTTTGGTGGTTTTCTTTCTATGAAAAGAGTTTCTTTGTAACTTGTAACCACAAAAGTTTCCGGGTAGCCATGGAAATGAATTGTTAAAGATTGGCTTCAATGCCTATACTGATGTAATCTCACTGCTTGGAAATTGTTTAAATAAAGAATTGCTGAAGTTTTTGGCAGGAGATAGTTGCACCAGCTAGAATGTCAGTGTCTGCCTCAATTGCTCTTTCACCGACACCGCCTCATCCTTTGGGGAAAAGACCCCTGACCAGCCACCTTTCAGAACTGGACTCTGACATTTGGCATGGTCTACAAAGGATATCATCACAAATATAAACTCTTTGTTTCTAGAGATACCATGCATACCCTCTGGGAGTATAATTTCTTCTGTTCCCCCATATCACCCCACCCCACACAACCCAAACATGATACTACTTCTGCCCTGGATTGTGCCAGACGTGTGTTATGCCAACCTCATGTCTAAACCAGTTTTTAAAATATCACACAAAAATTAAGAACAAAGTCACATGGCTTTTTAAGATAGACCTTTATGGCTAACAAGAGTTGCTTTTACTGGTGAAGTCCAGAACCCATAAAAGGCGTAACTGAGGTTGACTTCACCCTGTTGCATGGGGACCTACTGACAATAGTTTCACTGAAAAGACATTATGCCCAAGAAAAGGGGGTCAAGTGTTCTAAAAAAGGTTTTAACTTAGTAGGGACTGTTATTCTAGAAGACCTGCTTACAATGCTGACCCTTAGCTGGCAGATGTAAACTAAGTAAGTTAACAGTTTCCTACAATGATAAAACTTTCCCTACCCAATAAGGGTGGATCATTGCACCTAGACTACTTGTACAGCAATATGGCAATGTTAAACATTTGTTTTACTGGTAGGTTTCTTAAATTTTAGGATATGCCAAATAGAGGATACATATGTGACCAACCCCCAATAAAACTCTTAGGTACTGAGTCCCTAATTACTAGACAGAAACAGCACACATAGTGCTGTCTCTTAACTGCTAGGGAAGAGTGTGCTACCTGGAAACTCTCGTGGGAGGGATTTTTCATGATAGTACAACTCATTTTTTTTAAATTTTGTGGTAAATTTAGAATTAAAGAAGAGTTATGAAAATAGTAAAGAGTTCCTGCATTTCCTTCACTGGTTTCCATTTATGTTAACATCTTATGTAATGATGGAACATTTACATATGAATTTTAAAAGCCATTTCACACTTTTTAAAAATAAGAACCTGCAAAAACACTAATTAAAAAGACACCTATATTCCCATGTTTATTGCTGCTTTACTTAAATTGGAAACAACCAAAATGCCCAAAAGTAGATGGCTGGATTAAAAATATGTGGCACATAAACACAATGGAATATTACTCAGCAATCAAAAACAATAAAAACATGCCTTTTGCAGCAAAATGGATGGAGATGGAAGGGATCATGCTTAGTGAAATGAGCCAGAAAGAAAAGGAAAAATACCAGATGGTTTCACATAGCAGGAGTATAAAGGACCAAGGAAGAAACTAAAAATAATAATAATAATGAACAACTATATATCAGAAGCATTTTACAGGGGTGGAGTGGAGAATAGGATCAAAAATGGACTATGATGATGGCACACAGGTGAATTGGTGGTGGTAAGCCCATGGGGATTACAATTGATATAGAAAAAGGCACAAAATGATATATAAACTATTATATATGCATATATATACATATATATGTGTGTGTGTATATATATAAAAGAACCTGAGGGTAAAAAGACTAAAAGTCACTTTTAAAGTCATTCTTGGGGCTACTCCCTGGTGGCACAAGGGGTTAAAGCACGGCACTATGAAGCTATCTGCAGCCACTGCAGCATGAAATCCATCCCCAGCCAGGGAGGTGACTCACATGGCACAGCAGACCTCTCCTGTCTTGCCTGCTGCTCCCCTCAGCAGTGTATTTCAGTCAGTCTGACTGTTCTGCTCCCCACTTTGTCTCTAGTGAATCCTCTCACCACCACCCCCACACACTCTCCTCTGACCTGTTCCCCAGTTCTTGTATTAATAAATAAATAAATCTTAAAAAAATAAAATACAGTCGTTCTTGGGATAAAATCTAGAACTCCTTGTCCTTTCTCCTTTTTTCACTATACTCTGAACAACTTACCTTCTTCCTGTTCCTTGAACATAATATATTTGTTCCTACCCTTAGGCTTCAACCGGCTATTCTTTCTATTTAAAATACTTCCCTCAGATATGTTTCTCAGAAGTAAATTTATTCTTATCACTCAGTTTTTGACCTAACTATTACTTCTATTACTTCAAATCTAGAGTTAAATGCTGCACATTCATTTGTTTATCACCTGTTTTAATTTCAACACAGCACTTACCTGATAGTTCTTGCTCTATTTTTATTTAGGCTTTGGCTATTTCTAGGGCAGTATGTATTTGGAATTCTACATACCTTCCATTGGTAACATCCAGAAGTTACTCCCGTTGATGCCAATCCATACCCTTTTCCTCCACTGCCATGAGTTAAAATCTGTCCATTTTCCACTAGGCAACACTGAGCTTTCTCTGGGTCAAAGGAAACTTCTTGTATAGGAAGATTTTCATCTTCTTCCTCCAACTCTCCCTGCTTCTACCAGAAAGAAGCTTGGTTAGTATTTTGGAGAATGCCTGGTCTCAGCTAATCTATAGTCCAAGACTCCTTTAGTTTTATGTCACAAAGATTTATTAAGTGCCTAATCTGTACCAGTCACTGTGTAGACAATGGGAACATAAGGATAATACAGTGTGACCGTCATTCCTTAAAAGCTTATGAGCCATACGGAGGAAAGAGTGACAGAGAAATAACCAAGTTACATGACAGGTAGAGCAGAAACAAGTGTCTAACCCAAACTGGAAAGGACAAGATAAACATTCAAAATTCAAAAGAAGATTTCAAGCTGACCTCTGAATGATGAGAAGGCATAAAGCATATAATCAAAGAGAAAAAGATTTAGGGTAGACTACACATTTTGTGTCAAGGCATGGAGGTATAAGGAAATTCAATGACCTAATAAATTGTTAGCCATGTGGAATGTCTGAAAATTTGAGAGTGGCAGAAAGGTAGTCTAAAAAGAGAACAAAGAACAAAATCATGGAAGGCCTTAAATGCCATATTAAGTTTGAACTTTACTCTAGAGACAAGGGCTGCCTATACAGATAACTTATATTCAGCATCCCTTATCAGATCTATATATTATATACATCATTTTATCAGCAATGTACAGTATGAGGAAGAAAGAACAATCAAGAGATTACTTCAAGAGTTTGGGTAAGAAATACTGAGAGCAGTTCATTATTAATTCAACAAGTATTAAGCATTTACTATGTGTCAGGCATTCTACCAAGTTCTATATATTCAACAGTATATAAGAGAGAAAAGGTCTCTGCTTCAGAACACTTATATTTGGAAGAGGCAGGCAGAAAATAAAGCAAGGAATATCGGGTAAGTACTATTCTGAAATTAAACAGATGACATAACAAGCATGTATAGCAATTAACTTTTGATTGAGTGATCAGGAAAAGCTTCTCTGACAAAGTAATAATTAGGTTGAGACCTGAATGGTAAGAGTAAGTTTACCTCTGAGATACATCTGAGGGAAGTTTTTCAAGTACAAAGAATAGCCAGTCCACGCCTAAAGGCAGGAATAATATAGTATGTTCAAGAAACAGGAAGAAGGCCAGTTATACACAGTATAGTGAGAAAAGGTGCAGAGGACAGGGAGTTCTAGATTTTGTCTCACAGATGATGAGAAACCATATGAGAGTTTAAGCAAGGGATGACTGTGCTCTATTTTATCATTTTGAAAGATCACCTTGGATCTTAAGTAGAGAATGGACTTTAGTAAGACCAGTGAGAAGGTGATTGCATAGTCCAGGCCAGACATATGAGTGGCCTGTGATATGGTAATAATAGATGAATAGAAGGTAGGCAAATCCAAGTTGTGTTTTACAGAGGAGTCAACAGGATTTGGAGATTGTATGGATGGAGAAAATGGAGGTTGCAAGCATGGTAGAAAATAATCAAGATGCTGCTTTGATGTTTTGGATTAGTCACTAACTAGGAAAAAGAGTAAGTCTGGGGAATGACCACGATGTGATAGAACTATGGATACTACTAAGTCTGGGGTGGCTTTTAAATTATCACTTAATTGGTAAGACATAAAAAACATGGGTAAATCTGAAATTCAGGAAAACTGTCAGAACTGAAATTTAAAATTTGGGCTCAAGGTTTTGATGGATACAGGAAAATACCAATGGTGACTGTTGGGGAAAAAAGGAGGTCTTGGGACCAAGTCTCAGGATACTCCAACAATTAAACAAAAGAGGAAGAATCAACAAAGTATAATGAGAACAGACCACTGTATTGAAATAGAAGGGAAAACCAGAAAATGTATGGAATCATGGAAACCAAGTATTAAGAAGAATTAAGGTAGCTGGAACAGATTCGAAAACAACTTAAGAGGCAGAATTAGTATGACCTGTGATCACATGGATGGGGACATTCAGAGAGTCTAGAATACCCAAGAATTCAGTGGAAATTTAGAAGTGGGGATCTAGGAAGCTAGGTGGTACACCATTTGAAAATGAAATAGAAAGTAAAGAAGTTTTAAGAGGAAACAACCTGGGCTAGTATTCAAGTTTGGAAGGTATTGCATATAGGTGAAAATGATGATGGGTGTGATTAAGATTGTTGGAAAAGTTAAAACTCTAAAGAACAAGAGATTTTTGGATAGAGACAAGGAGAAAGTGGCACCAAAGAAAAGCTGCCTTCAAAAGAACTCAAGGAATGCTAGAGGGACTATGAAGATCTGTGAAAGATAGTGTTTGAAAACAACAGAAAATTAGTTTTCAGAGATCAAACAAGATGTGTATAAAAAGTGTACCCTGTATTTAAAACTCAGCACTTAAACTTTGATGTTTAATCACTATGCTTTTAGGGCTCTAATCATGATGATTTTCCTATATGGTGGTTAACAATTGGTGGGAACAACTAAGTGAAAAGTATGGCCCTCTGATTAAGAGTCCTTAGAAACAAAAGCTAAACTTAAAAAAAAAAAAAAAGACTATACATACATATCCTCTAATTGAGGATTCTAATAATTAAATTACATTTAAATCACCAGGGGGTTAAAGAGCAGCACTATGAAGCTGTCCACAGCCAGTGCAGGACCAAGGTTGATCCATGGCCTGAGAGGTGGCCCACAGGGCACAGCAGACCTCTCCTGTCTTGCCCACTGTTGCCCTCAGCAGTGTTATTTTAGTGCATCTGCCTGTTCTGTTCCCCACTCTGTATCTGGTGGATCCTTTCACCACTACCTCCTGTACCTCTGGCCTGTACCCTAGTTCTTGTATGCATAAATAAATATTTTAAAAAATTGTGCTTTGAAGGAAGATAAAAAAAAAAACTGGATTCAAGAAATTATAAGAAGGAGTGGCCATTAATAAGATTACACTTCCAAAAAGTTTATGAATGAAAGACTGGAAAGAAGATAAGGAAGGGATTTAAGAGAGTGGAGATGAGAGATGTTTATAAGCTGAAGGGAAAGAACCTGTGGAGAAGCAGCCAAGAGTATGGAAAGGGGAAGGAATAGCTGATAGTACAAGGTACCTCAGAAATAAAGGGATCCAGAAACAGGGGACAGGCTATTCATTTGCACTGTCTAAAATTACCTTTTCAGAAGAATCAATTACCTGTAATTTCATTTCTTGTTCTTTTTCCTTTATCTGAATAGCATGTTTTGCCTGAGCGATGGGAGTCTCCCACATACAGTCCGACAGAAGAGAAAATAAGCATTCAACAACCTGTTTTATTTAAGGAAAATGAATGACAAAATTTGTAAAAGGCAATTTTATGTATTTACACAGAAGATAAATCATCTAATTCTAATAATTAAACCACATTTGATTATAACATGTTCAACAGCAATTCTGGGCAGCTGTAAGTTAAATAGCTCTTTTCTTAGAAAGATTATTAACCAACTGGAAAGTGTATTCTTTTGCCTTGTACAGTTACATTATATGGACCTCTGACTAGGCCTTACAACATTACATAATTCTCTCTTTAGAGGGCCAAGCCTAGTAAGAAATTCTACAGACCTTTTCTTCTGATCTTGCAAATATCACTATTCCCCTACCCCTTACACTCCTTAAACTTAATTTCTCTTTTTCCTTGCTTAAAGATGAGATAATAGTGAAAGCAATCTCAGAAGTAGAAGTTTTGCTACTGAATGAAAGAATATTTACAACTGAAAAGACTAAGTTTAGATTTTAGGTGAATTATGTTACAAATGTGAAAACATCTTTATATAACTTGAAAACAGAAACCTGGGCCATTTGATCATCTTCTACACCAGATTCACAAGCTGGTAGCACAGCCTCAAGGACATGAAGTGCGAGGAGCCTTGTTCTTAAGTTACCAACTAGAGGAATACCTAGAAGGAAGCCAAAGACTTTTTCTATTATCAGTCTTAATATCAACTATTATGAAGACATTTTTATTATCATTCAAATTTAAATGAACTCTTTGGAAAAATGTGTAGTTGCTATAAAGATTTATGGGTGGAACACTACTTCAAGAATTGTAGACTCGTCTTATACCCACTAATGTATAAAACTGTTATTGTTTGTTTCAGTTTTTAAGTATATACAAAGGGAAAAGCACTATCATAACTACCTGGAGCCAGATACTATACTATGCATTTTATGCTATATTAACTCCATTAATTTTTATAAGCGATATGTCTTCCGTTTTGCTTACAAGAAAGTATGTTGAAAAGTCACTTGATGAAAGTCACACAGTTTATAGACGCAGAATTTTAAATAGGTCTGTTCAAATCTAAAGCTCAGACTTATCAAAACTTTCACTTTTTCTTCTTCTCTACAAGGTGTGCCTACCTCACAGTATTAGTGTTAGTGTAGAGATAAGCAGTTTGTATTTTTCTAAAGTGAGCAAATGTAGAGACAGATGCTGGTGCTCTGTTTATACCCATTACTACAATAAAGCCAGTTGAAAGTAAATGAATATCTGATCTTTATGTTCTTGCACATTAATCAATATTCCATAATCCTCATTTTTATTAAAAAAGGGGGAAGCTAGGCTAAGTTATATTTGTTAAAGAAAACTACTAAAGTGTATTAAGAATACATAATATAAAGTAACATGTACCATGGAAGATTACATTATCTTTTAGCATACTGTTAAGACTAGGGATGGTGGAAAAGTTCTGGAAAAGAGAACACTGATGGTTCAACAAGACTGTGAATTCACTGAATGTTACTGATTATACACTTAAATGGTTGAAATGGTCAATTTAACTTTATGTGTATTTTACAAAATTTAAAAACAACAGATAAAGACTGACAATAATCTAATCAAGCATGTCATACTTCAGACTAACAACTAGCAGAGAAGCTTATTACATAAACTCATGTAGGGAGCACACAATCCGAAGTTATAATCAAAACATTAGAAAAACTGTCACTGTTAAGACAGAATGGACAAATTCAAATCTGCATTTTGATAATTGAAGAAGTGTGGTAGAAAAATCTGTGCCAAATTATTATGTTAAATATATTCTCTATGTTTATTATTATAAACAATTCTTGTAAAATTAAATATTTCATTCAAATTCATTATCTTCTCCAATGCTATTTTCTATTAATTCCTATCAATTTTTACTACTGAAATTCGTTTTCACTGGATCAAATAAATACTTTTGTAAAACGAAAGAAGTCTTAGCTCAAGAGCACATTTAATGTTGTTAAAGTCTAACATTATCTGAATAAAATACCATGTGATGCATAAAAATACTCTAAAATAGAGACAAAGGTCATTTACCTGAAGAACATTTCTGGGATGCTATGTTTAGAAGCACCTCTGTCCACTTTGGGGAAGCCATTTTTGACTGAATTGCTTTAGAAGATACAACTCTACGAAGAAAAACTAAAAAATCCCCCAGATGTAGTTCAGCAGCATGTTGTTTTCGAATAGCAGCTGCAGAGTGATGAGACATGGTTACTTTACTACCAAAGGTCAACTGGAAATATTCTTACACTATATAGCTCACGTTAAACACAAACCTAATTAAAAATATATGTTGTCAATAAGCTTTTGAACCCTTAAAATTTAAAAAAGAATGGCAAAAGTTCAGAAAATAAAGCCAAACAAAAATATCTTTGTAACTGTGGAGGATTAAAGGGACGACTAGGATCAAGTGTGTGCTCATTTTTATGCTTTTTCTTTTCCTGCTATTCTAAAAAGCAAGAGTTCTCTACCAGAATTTAGAATTTGATTGAATAGAAGTAGAGGGACGTGGTCTGTTAACCCCAAAACTACATAAAAAATCATGTATATGGAATATTTATATAGTGAAATTTCTGCCCTCCTCCTCCAGTCCAATCAAATTAAGAACCACGTCTCTAAAACAGATTTTGTGTGTTCAGACTCTACAAAGAAATCAATTTCTGGGTCTGGGCTTGGTTTCCCTGAGTTAAGACTACTATATAAGAGCTTTCACATAAACTTGCCCTAACCAATCTACCCAGTTTCTCCACCATATGAATACTGCCCCCTATATTAGGTCACTCTTCTCATTGTTTCCAACACCCTCCACACCTCCTTACCCTGGCAAAGTCCTAATCAGAGTGAGGGAAGTGCACCAGTGGGGTAGCTACCCAAAATGTCAATGTTGGAGTACTAAATGTCAGTCTAAGGAGTACTAAAATATGAAAAATCATAACTAGCTACGTGATAGAAAGGATGGCTCCCGCCCCCACCAGAAGACATACTAGACGACCAGTAATCTACCTTCATAGGCATCTAGTTAACTAGAGAACTTCTCATTTGCTGAGATGAATGTACAAGTCTGTGATAAAACTAAAATGCCAGGGACAACTGGAAAAAAAGCTGAGAATGTCTCTGTATTCTTCTACACTGTACTCTACCTCTTTTTTTAACTCTTATACTAATAAGCAATACTTTTTATAATATTAGCTTGAAGAACATAACATTATCATCTTGCCCTGGGTACTCATATTATCTCATTCCAATTTTGTTCTTATGTGTTCCTTCAAAATTCAGTTCAAAAGCTACCTCTTCTATGAAATCTTAGTAGAGATCCCTGGGAAATCTCCTTTATGAGGTCCTCTTCCTACCCCCCCTACCTTCACTCCCTGCAAGTTTCTCTAAAATAAAATACCTAGAGCCCTTATTTCAGTATCAATACTATATTTGAAATGAAAATACTCAGCTTTTAGTTTAAAATTCTTACATTCTAGTTAAGTATTATAGAGGGTCTGTGGGGTTAATACCTGGGCAGCCTACCTCTGAATACCAGGCCACTGTAGAACAGAACTGCTCACAATGTAGTCATCCCCATAAAAAGTGAGCGCAAAGGCATTGTCTCTAGGTAAACCTGAGAGGAATGGGCCTGGACACAGTCTACTGTTAACCCCTGTCAAGATTCACTTAGAGAAGGCACTTTATCTGGGTATGGAAAGATGCAATTTTTTAAGAAACTATTAAGCTGAGTTTCCTATATATATACCCATATATATATAAGTGTGTATATATATAAGTGTGTATATATATCTATATATATAGATAGATATAGATAGATAGTACTCAGCAAAGCGTGGGAAGAATCTGTTACCTTAACAACCCTGTATTCCCCACTGATTCTCAGGAAAACTGGAGGCAATAAACAAAAGACTTGTTTTATTATACCTTATAAGTATGCCCATTCTTGTTGTATAAGCACTGTGCTTTCTATATATGTAAGAGAAATTGGCTACTGCTTCAGTCTCTGAAATTAAAAGCCTGTCCTTAATTAGACTCATAAATTGTCCTAGATTCTAAAGAAATTTAGATATTTCTTCTGTGCTTCTTCATTACACTCAGAAGATACATCTTCTGTACAATTATTTGCTTATATATCTGCCTTCCTCATTGTCCTAGACTGTTTTTGAGCACAAAGATAATGCTTTATCATTTGGTATTTTGGATATTTCCTTTATCTACCAACTTAATATTAAGTATTACTTTAATTTTTACTACCAATTTAACAATATTAAGTATTACTTTAATTTTTACTATCAGTTATATATTTCAGTATTAATATCCACAGCTCTCATTATATGCCAGATACTGCCCTAAGTACATTACATGGATTAAATTACTTAATCCTCATAACAGTTTTAGGAGGCTGGTTCTATTAACCTTACTTTACTGAAAAGTGAATTGGAAGTCAGAATAGTTAAACAACTTATTCTATCTACCTGTCCATCATTGTCCATTAATCCATTCACCTATTACCTAATGCAGAAAAGGGCTCCCCAAGTTTATTATATTAATAAGATATGGTAGGTTCAAACTTAAAAAATAAATGACCAGTGGTCCACCTGTTGGCACAATGGGTTAGGACACAGCACTGCAAACTGGCCGCGGCCACTACAGTTTGGTCCCCGGCCCCGGAGGTGATCACATGGTGAGGCAGACCTCTTCTGTCTCACCCGCTGCTCCCCTTAGCAGTATATTTTGTCAATCTGCCTGTTCTGCTCCTTACTCCATCTCTGGTGAATCCTCTCACTGCCCCTGAACCTCTGGTCTGTACCCCAGTTCTGTGTGCATAAATAAATAAAAATCTATAAAAAACAATCAGCTTTAGATCTTTATTTCCTTAATTACATGACACCTGTAGTAATTCTGCTTCTGAGGGTTTATGTTCTGCTGAAATACAAATTTCATAGTAGTTTCTTAAAGCTATAAACAGAAACTCAAACAGCAACCAAAAACGATGATGGTTAAGTATAAGGAAAAATTTTGTTTGATTAGGGAACAAAACAGCTTCACTAGTTCAGTGCTTCTAACTCTAAACCATTCGAATATTAAAACCTTTGGTTCTTGAAGAACACTTAAGCTAAGATTTTGGTTAGAGATGGTCGCTAATATAAAATTCTAAGAAAACAACCTGAGGGTACCAGTCATGTAGAACTTAACAGATTCTAGGGCCAGGATAGCCAAGAAGAGACTGAACCAAGGGAGTGAGCAGTGTGGTCACTGCATTAGTTAACAGACTAAGGACAGGACGCTTAGTCAGAAGTATATTCAGATTATATTTATTGGAAGAAAAAAGGGTTTGTAACTGAACAAATAAAAATCCTCTTAAGCCTCATGACAGAAAGAAGTCTATATTCTAATGACAGGCACACAATGGGAACTCAAAAAGTGCTTGCCACAGAAAAAAAATTATGATACCTCTAAAATCTCTTTTCTCCATTTCTCCACTAGAATCAACTTTTTTTTCTTCTTCACCCTCTTCTCTTTCCCCTTCTCCAAAAGAGGCCATAAGCAGTACACCAGCTTGGGACAACAAATTCTTCAATTGACTACAGAGAAGATCCAACAAGGACTGAACTACTTTGGGACTCAGTTTATCAGCATAGGTCCTATATTAAAAAAAAAAAAAGTAGTAACACAGAAAGGCAAATGTACTTAAACACATAAAAGAGATTAGGGGGATAAAGAAATTACTAAAATGTGAAAAGACCAGGCCCCACATAGGTCTCTCAAGACATCTACATGTCTCACCCTGTAGTGATGGCCAGAATCTGGAGCAATCTTGTACTAGCCACTTTCAAAGCTGTGCTAAGCTGGGAAACACCAGTCTTTGGCAACAACTGCAAGGGTTGTCCTAACATGGTGTCTGTGCCACATAACTGTGATAGCACATTTAGCAGACCAGTAGAAATTGCCAAAGAAACATCCACTGGTTGATAGTGAACACTCAGGGAGAAAACTGTAACCAAAAGGAGACGCTGCTGGGCTTCTGAAAAAGAAAGAAAGAAGAATACTGAGAATTTTCTTTGAAATAAATTACACATTTACTAAAACAAATCATATTCCAAAATATAACTAGTTATATATAACACTATTACATTTTCATTTATTTGTTCTTTATTTGTAAGTTGATGTATTAATGTTAAATACAAGGTACAGAGTTTTAGCTATCTAGTATAACTTCAGGTCAAAATGTAACTTGTATCCTGTATTTGCAGGGACAATAACTCACCGATGTGATGCTTGTTTGCTTGGAGAGCTCTCTCTAGGGTAGCAGACAACTGTTGATAAATTTTATGCACAGCCACCTGGATTTCAATCTGAATATTTCTCTTAGCTGCTCTGATTCCATCCTGAGTTACACATAAAGATTTACAAAAATAGTACCTCCTAGCCAAATAAAAGCAACAGCATTTTATCTCTAGTCTATGTTAGAACCTATAGTGGTTTTAAATTACTTAGTATAATTCATTATATAATTTTTGTAATAAATTTATTTTAAATGCCTGGTAATTCCTCATTCTATCTAATCTTTTACCTTTCCAATAAGCAATTTTTCCTCTCTATGGAAGACATATAGAGAATACCTCAGAAAAAAAATTTCAAACAGAAAAACCTGGTAAAATGATCATTTCTTAAATGTAAATTCTTAAAACCCATTCTCTCAAAAAACACAACTTAGATCTATCTCTATCCAATTTAGCTAAGGATAAATAAAACTGAGACAGCAAAAATTCTACAAGTACAAAACAGTATGATACACTGAATGTCATAACACAACTAATCCCAACTATATACACTAAACCAATGAGGTATCTTTAAAAGATATCTAAAAGTCTTTATACTTTTAAATCTCAATCTTAAATAATAAAAAGTTTAGCATTATTAAAGTGGTTATGTAAAATGGTCAAAAATTTGAATGTACTACAAGGTGCTGTTGTCACACAACAGTTCTATTACCTACCTGATAATGATGTAATCGACCACTCTCCCCTTTGGCTCCTGCAAGTCCAACAGTGCCTAAACCAAAGCACCCTGCCAGAAACTGTAACCTTACAGATGTGAGCAGCGTAGATGACTGGAGGCCCGAGCTCGACCTACTTCCAGCCAGAGAAATGCTACCTTTTTCCTCCATGCCAGACAACAGAACAAGGATCTGATGAAGTGCCTCTAAACGAAGCTTAAGAAAGGTAAAAAACAAAAAACAAAAAACAAAAAAACTACTTTAGAGTTCTTCTCTGAACTGAGACACAGATGAAATATGCATGTCACAAATTTTCCTGTCCCCACAAAGAAGATTCTCACAATTCTTAGAAGTCTATATTATAGCATTTATTATGACTTTTGAAAATCAAAATATCTCTAAAAACTTTATAAGACTTCATTGATAGAAAAGAGGTTATGTAATCTAAGAGGAAAATTAGTCAACTAGCAAGCAAGAAACCTGATTTTAAGGTGTGGCTTTGGGAAGTACAACTTCCTGCATCTTGGTTCTTCATACACAACATGAGGCAAATAATACTTTTTTTAACCTACTCATAGAGCTACTATTATTCTCATGAGATTACATGTATAGGTTTCAAAAACGTAGGTAGTATTGTTGCTGCTATCTTTACTTACAATATTCATACAAAATAAATACTCTTTATTTCAAGAATTCCAACAAATACTTCTGAAAGATTTCTCTACACTTCTCTTGGATTTCTGGCTGTCTTTCCTAGGACAATATCCACCACAGTAGTCAATCAGTCCTTCCATTTTCTTTTTTTAATAAACTACTTTGAAATAATTTTGTACTTCTGTAAGAGTTGTTAAGATAGCACAGAGCTCCCTATACCATTCTCCTTAAGTTAACGGCTGATATATATACATGAAAACTAAGAAATTAACATTGGTACAATATTACTGACTAGACTACAGACTTTATTTTTCCATAATGTCCCATTTCTGTTCCAGGACCCTATATGGGATTTTCACATAACATTTAGTTGTCATGCTTCCTTAGACTCCTTTAGTCGATAATGGTTTCTTAGCTTTCCTTTAATTTTCATGTCCTTGATACTCTGGAAGAGCTTTTCATGTATTTTAAATAATGTGCCTCAACTTGGGTTTCTCCAACTTGGATTACAGTTATGGGTTTTCATATGAGTACTATAGTCTCCTCACTACATTATTATTATTAGGGATAAATTATATCAACATACGAGTGATGTCTGCCAAGTTTCTGCAATGTAAAACTGGTATTCCTATTCTCCCTACTTCATACTCTAATTGTGAGACCTGAGAATAAATTCAGTTTACTCTCAGGGAGAGGGAAATTAAGCCCCTCCTCCTTCAAGAGAAAGTACCAAAGAATTGTAGACAATCATTAACGAATATTTTAAGGAGATACTTTGTGGCTATGGGAAAATCCTGAATTCTTAAAATTCTGCTCACTGATTTTAACATTCATCATTATTACTGTTATGTTCTAATCTAATTCCATTTTAAATGAAGACAAAAGTGTCAGTGATCTGAAAAGAAGATCCCTGTGGTCACCAGCCAGTTTTGAGTCTAATTTTCAAGAGACAAGGAAAGACTTAAAGAGTATCTTGTTTTAAAAATGGTAATTAGAAATGCACTTCCATCAAGTTCAAGTAAAGCATGGCATTTTAGTGAAGAAAGTGAAGTCACAAAGCAACTTGTGGAAGAAAGAGGGAAGAACAGGGGGGCAAAGAATGAAAAAAAAGAAGAAAGTTTTCCCTATAATTATTTATTTAGTGGTTCAGATTATGTTTCCATAGGTCCTTGTAAGGAGTAAATACTAAAGACTTACTTCTGCCCTTAACTGTTGCTGTTCCATTGCAATAATAGAGGCCTGGGGACTTGTAGACATACTTTCCTCTGGCTCTTTAAAACCTGGGGCATTCCCCACATCTCCACTCACAAAGCTTACAACATTTTCAATCAAAGTGTGAACTCCCAAAGTCTTGGTAAGATCAAAATCAGACTCAAAGGAGTAAGAGGAGTTGCATAACCAGTCTCTGCTATGTTTCAGGCGAGCCCAAGAGTCACTCAGGGATTCCAATTGACTGTGCATAGGACCTACATACAAAGAAAACAAACATGCATCAATGGCAACCAAGTAGAGCCTATATTCTGAAACTAGATGAATGCTGAGTGCTACAACCCATACTAACTGGTGAGAAATGGAATCTCATGTTTGAATACATGCATGCATTAAATGTGAATCTGAGCAAAATGCTTTGGTAAAAAAAAAAAAACAACAAAGGAACAAAAAACTAGAGCAATGTAGGAAAATAAAGAGAAAGCCCTGTTTGATGTACCAGTGTCTTTGTAAGCGCTTTAGCAACAAGCTGCCACAAGAAAAAGAAAGGCAGAAGCTGCTCTCAAAATGCTTAGCTTAAGATGCTTTGCAGTATTAAATCAGACCATCATTTATAAACAAAAAGGAACACTTATGACACAGCTTGTAAGGCAATAGGACTTCATTTGATTTAACATTATCATACGAAAGTAAGTAGAGATTGTCTACATATCTGCAATGAAACATTACCAAAAGATGAATATAGAAGGGCAAGTAAACTTACACAAAAGGAGATACATATTATCACCCTTCAGGTTTCATTACTATAAGAAACACTTTCACTATGTCCTATGCATATTTGCTGCAGGTTGTGAAACTCCTATATAGAGGAAGCAAAGTTTCACAACAAGAATATGTAAGATTTACTATAATATGGTATCTATTTAAAACAAGTGGTGTCACAATAGTTGTTAAATATAATACTATTAGTTATGCCAATAGGCATTTTCGAGGCTAAAATCTTCACATTAGGCAGCAAAAATGTTAATGTTTGAACATAACAGCAAATGCTTAAGACATATGCCAATACTAGCTTTAAATAAAAATATAAATGTCTAATTCTTGCAAGCTTTGTCTTTCCCAATTTAATTGATCTCTGGTGTGTAATTAGAATAATAATACTTCACTCATGATATACTTTCATCATTGTCCATACACAGGCTCCTTTTATATTAATTTATAATAAACATGAATGTAAGTACTAGAAAACTGAACAATTTAAATCTATTTGTACCTCCTCCAACCTCTCTGGCTCTGCCTACCTTAATATTTTTTTATAATATTATCCCCAAGTCTGAGTGTATCAGTTCTTTGTTTTTATTGTTGTTAGATACTCCTTTTTCTTACATATATTCCTAAAACAAGTAAATATTTACCTCTATTTTTGACTTGTTAAAAAAAATTTATATAATCTGTTTTGGAAAGATTTAATATGCATATTCATTATATATTTATTCAATACAATATAGCTAATATTCATTCACATTATTGCATGTGGCCATAAGTCATTTGTTTGAGTGCAGTCTAATAAAACTTTTCTATCAGGGATGTATCTTAGGAACCTAGTAAATATGCATTAAAAAATTATGTATTACTTAACTAGATGAAAAGATTTGGGACAAGAACTACTTAAAACATTAACATTCACAGAGTAAACAACCTACAAAAACACTGATTGCGTAACTTATTTTTTAATTACTACTACTGGTGTCAGTAAAACCCCAGACCTCAAAATCAGACATAGAAATTTATAATAAGCAGAAAATATTATAAACTAACTATGTAATCATTTATATGTATCCTAATAAGATAATTTAGAATGATAAAAAATATTTGGTTTATCTGGGTATCAAGTTTTGGCAAGATTTCTTAAGATTAAAAAAATAATAAGAACCAATCTGAAAATTTTCTTCAAACTGCATTAACTAAATATTTTTTCAAACAAAATAAAAAGTAAAAATCTAAAGAATAAAGTCAAAAATACATATTACACTAAAAATTATACTTAAAGAATAAAGGAGAGGCTAGGGTTAAAAAAATAATTTCCCATTTCCTTAAGCACCCCAAATTCAGACAGGTTTTGACTCTTTGCATTGAACTTGTCTAATAAAATTTCAGAATGAAAATTTCTTTTGTTTTATAATACTTACAAATTATTTTTCAAAATGAAAGTACAGTGTAATGAGCTATTATTATTAGAACCATAGAAGTAAAAGTGCTCTTAAAGAATATCCAGTCCAACTTCCTCAACTGAGGAAAAAGAGTGTTAAAGAAATTGATCTGACTTAATAACCCTAATGCCTTAATTTTACAGCAGATAGTGCTACATAATTCTTTTACTAATCAACTCAGAGATAACTGACACATGAAATTTTCAATTGCCTGCCTGCATAAAGATTCAATTATATAAAATCTACAAATAATTAACAGCCTTATTTGACTTCAAAATTTTTTATACAATGGGTATTAACTCCAAAATTAAATTCTTTCTGCAATTTAAGACAGAGATCAGCAAATCTTTTTCCTCTAAAAAGCCAGACAATAAACACTTTAGGTATTGTGGGTCATACGGATCTGGAGTAATACATACTTAACTCTACTATTGTGGGGGCTTTGGAGGTGGGAAAGCAACCATAGCTAATACAAAAACAAATAAGGGTACCTATGCCCCTGTATAACCCTATTTGTAAAAATAAAATAAAACCATATTTACATAAAACAGGTTGCAGGCCAGATTTGGGTCACTAGCCATAGTGTGCTGAGATTTAATTTAAAATATGTAATTTATTAGGTGTATGATCCACACAAAACTCTTAACAAGTAAACTATAACAACAGGTAAGACACTATCTAAAAGCACTAGGAAAAATAAAACATAACAAAATATTTAAGCTGATATCAAAAATACTTTGAAACACAAAATATTACAGTATGAAAACAAGGAACAACTTATCCTAGTCATTTTTTAAAAAATTGTAAAAACCATATCTTTGGATTGTTCTGTACTGTTTTATTTGAATACAGGAAACACTGTCTGAAAAACATATCAAAAGTTTCTGCAGAGTAACTGTTACTAAGTTCAATTCTTATTAACTCAGTCACCTACTGTGAGAAGAAAATATAAAATCCAACAACAAATTTGAGATGGTTTACTTGTCCTTAACAACTTTGGCTCTTAAATGGAATTTTCAAAATGAACATGGCAGAGCTGTAATACATACTTTATAAACCATAAAATATGTAGGCAAGCTAAAAGGGGAAAAAAATTAAACATGCCATCATGTACTTGCTTGAAGCTCTTCTTTTTTCTGGGGCTCAACTGGCCAAAAAGGAGTAAATACACTACCACACAAGAATCAGAAGACAAAAGGAGAAATTTGATACAGGAGACAACATTTACATTTGTTCTTCTTTATATAATCTAATTTGAAATGCATAAATAAAGCAGCATTTCTCCCATACATATTATACCATGAAACACACATGCTGACATATTTTCACAGTATTAGTTTTGCAATGAAAGCCTAACAGTATATTTAAAAAGACCTTGGGGTGGGAGGTTGGAAATAAAATCGTAGAGTAATTGAAATGTAAGATTCCTGATGCTGTTTCTTAAACTGTTATTTTAGTATTCCCACCATTTTTCATCAAATCAGCTTCAGCTTTATATGAAAACTAAAGTACCTACAAAAAAGTATTCTTTCAGTAAAGTCATTCAGTAGAAATATAGCAAATATTTTAAGTAGTTATTAAAGTTCCAAACACCAATATATTTAACAGGTCTTGTCAAGAGTTTTGAAAAGTGGTTATAAGAAATAAGAGTTACTGCATGAAGTGATTAGAACTGGCACACAGCAGTTTACAAGCCATTTAATGAATACAAAGTCATTTATTGAATACAAATTTTATTATTACCTCAGACCATCAAGCAGAAGTATGTTTCACCTGTCTCAAAGTCATTTATGGCATCTTTGGTCTTAGAATTTAGCTCTATAAAGTTGAGCAAGTTGGGTAAATTAAAATTTATTTACTAACTTTGCCTTATGCCTTCTGACCATAGTCACTTTCTTAGAGAAAGATCTAGATCATCTATGAAACTTTAACTGGAATGATGGGGGGAGAAGCAGCAACAGTCATTTAACAGCATGAATCTTAGTATCCTCAATGCCAAATACTGAAATTATAGGAATTAGGCCCTCTCAATAAAAAGTCTTTGGAGGTATATTAAAAGTAGCGAAAAATGTGTACACAATGATTAACTGAACTGATATATCCATAATAGGACATAATTAAATACTTACCTATCTCTAATTTTTCTTAGCAGGTGTTTAATAAATTAGGTCTACTGAGACATGCAAAAGCTACAAAAGGGAAAGTAATTTAAATTGTCCATTCAAAATCTCCTAAAAAGTATTTTCAATATTAACTTCTTTTTTAGAAGGAAATTCATTATAATAAAATTACTAAGTACACATTTCATTGTTGAACTTGCAAGCTTTGGGGTTAATGAGATTTAAAAATAACTATTTTTGCTGCCTTAGTAGTTAATTCTTCTATCTTCTAGTCATCTATCCCTATAAACAAAGCCATAAGCAAAAATTTTCTCTGGTAACATAAAAATGTAATGATTATTAAAATAAATTGTTACCACATTAAATGATAGCATGAAAATATATATAAATATTCTGTCTCCCTATTTTAATGCCCTAAATGTATAATTAAAGACATTACTTATGGGGTCCTATATTTGCTTTTCCATTTTCAACAAAATAAAAGTTGGAGAAAGAATTTTCAGGTTTTTTGGAGAAAGTGGAATCTCCACAAACAAAATTTTGATTAATGATTTATTTAATTTACATCTACTTAGATGTAAAAGAATTATACATCCACATCAACTTAAAAGATAATTGCCTAAGTATTTAAACAGGTAGCAACTTTAAGAGGTAATTTTAAGACATTGTATTAATTTATACTTCTAAATAATTTATACTTGAATTCTAAATTATTCTTAGTTCAAGGAAAAAGATACCACTTTTATTCTAAAGATTTCTCTCCCACATACTGACAATAGCACAGACTGAATCTCAAATTTAGAGTCCCGTAAACATGATTTGAGAGTAAAGAATAATTTTAGCCAATGGACTATCACTTAAAATAATATAGTAGAAAGGTCAGAAACTATAGTTTGGATCCCTTATGCTAGTCAGTTTTGAGTCAGCTTCTGTTAAGCAACAAATAATATACATTTATTAATGTAGCAGACATTTTAGCAACATCATTCACCTAAGCTAACCAAAATCAAGAAGGTAATTGTGTTCCAAAAGTTTAATTCCTAAGTCAAATGATTAAGGAAAGATACTCCAGCTAATAAATGGTACATGAACTACCAATTTTCAAAGAATTATAAAATAATAAAACAAATACTTTATATTATATAGACATCGCTTAACTTCTTTCATATCACAAATACCTCATACATTTTTTAGAAATCTAAGCTATGTTACAGTCTCAAAGTATTTCAATAAAGCAAGTATCAGTTCTAGTCCTTATTATTCCCAATACCCAAAGGAAACAATTTTTTGTATCCTTATATAATAAGAATAAAATATTGTCATACTTTATTTATAGAAGTATCAATCTTTCTTCATCTAGGTTATAAACGCAGGTTTCTTCTCAGTTATAAAAAAAATATGTGCTTCTTTCCCACCCCCATTTCTGCTTTCCCTCATTTCTCAGTTTTTTCCCTAGGAATGGGTACTTAACACCCAACCAAGGGAGTCATCAAAAGAAAAGTTTCATCTTTATTTATTAAAGATACCATTATAGAAAAAAATTCCCACAAACTTTTAGAAAACTCCCTGTATTGGCACTTTAAGATTTCATATTTTTCAACTACAGTTTAAGTGGATTTAATAGAAATGCCAGTTAGTAGAGCATAGTAGTACTTCGAGAATTTTTAGTTATTCTTGAATTTACAGCATCTAAATCTGCTTTTTGTACATAAAACTAAGAGTTAACTATATTATTCATTGAGACAGAGCTTATAAAAAATAAGTTTAACTCTCATGACACTCAAATTAATTCTCACAGAAAAGTTGTTTAAAGATCAGCTCATCTCTTACATGCTTTATCTTATGAGACAAAGAGGAATAAAGTAACAGTTTGAATGTGTGTATGGGAGGTAAATAGGGTAAAGAATTCTCCCTATAACAACATTTATACTACAGCAGCTATATCAGAGCGTCAAAACCTGGCAAATTATGTACCTAATTCCCTATAATATAAAGCTCTATTTCTGGAATCCCACCAGACTTTTAAAAAGTCAAAACACATAACAAATGAGAAATAGAACTAATTATTAAATCCAAGACATTCTCAGATTTAAAATTTTTCTTCATTTTAAGTTTTCTGGATAAAATGCTTCTAAATATTTTTGCAATAATGTCCCAATGATAATCAGATCTAAATACAGAAAACATTAAAAGCAGAACTTAATCAGGTATTTGTATTTTTTAATACTTACCTTTCTTTCTATGAGATGATGCCAAGTCCAAATCAACATTTCGTCTTCCACTCTACAAGATAAAAATAAATAATAAAACTTAGTCGTGAAAAATAAGATTTAGTAGAGTATAAGGATAAAAAATAATCTATATGATTAAAGCAATGTACTAACTGATTTAGTCAAGTCAGACTAACAAAATATCTCAGCAGACCCTGAAAAAAGCACTAAGAAAGCCTAAACACATAATTATGAAAACCAGAGTCAAGATGCACACTGATCAACACTGTTAAGTAGATGTTTTTCTTTGTTATCAACATTTCTTCAAAATTTTTATCTTCTCTCTTCCAGACACAGTGTTAGCTTATTATTACCCTACAGATGACTAAAGTCCTATAGCAAAGTCCTTTTTTCTAAAATCACTACTTTAATCTTCTAGTTACTGCTGCTTTCCACTCTTCAAAACTCCCACTACCTTTGGCTATGTTTTTAGAGGAAAAGAATTGGTGAATTCACACTTTAAAAAAATTGTCCTAAGCCTTCCAATAATATCTTAAAAGACTTTTATATGTTTTCAGAAACTGCTAAAGAAATTTCAAATTGACCAAACTGCAGACAATTTAATAGAAACATGAAAATTTTTCAGGAAGAAGTGGAAGTATATTTTTGTGTGTGTGTGTGATGGTAGGGGTAGTGTAGACAATCGTCTGTTCTCCTTATATCTACAGCCAACCCTATACAAATCATATAAGACCTATATTTATGAACAGACTTGACATTATGGTCTTAGCCTTTCAATTGTAATTTCTAACCTCAAAAAATGGTGGCAAAGATGAAAGGCTCCGTAAATAACAAAACAGATCCATATAGGAAATGTCATCATGGAAATATTTATCTAGTCACACATATAAACACATGTATACATTGTTGAAAAACATATTGCCTTATAATATATATACATACACACACAGACCAGAAGTAAGAATATTCTCAGGCCATTTAGTACTGTAAAAACACCAATGGTTATTGTAAAAGCTCCTGTAAACATCTGTCATGCAATAAGACACTGTTTAAACACAAAATATCTTTTCCATGATGGTTCAAAGCAGAAATTGTTTAAGGCATCAGAACCATAAATGTCTATGATTCTCTTGAACAACTGGTTTGTTTTTACCTTTTAGATACTATGATTCATGTAATCATTATTTTTTTTCCGGTTTGGTGGCTCACCTCTAGCAAAACATCACAGAGTCTTTGCTGAGGTATATAAATGTGACCCAGGATTTTACTTTCTTCACCCAGCTTCTTACAGTTCTAATTTATTTACCTAATTTATCCTTTATAAAGTATTTACTTTTGTACAATAAATTAAATCCTTTGTGAAATGAGAAGTAGGGAATAGATTTGGAAAGTCCAGTGAGAAATTTTCATAAGTAAGACAACTGTCAACTGAAAAGTTAAACTTAAGTTTAAGTTTTGATTTGGGTTTCTCTATATATTGATACTGAAATAAATGTATAACATATATTCTGTCACAAGACTCTTTCAAAAGAAAGAGCAAAGATTTAGTATTTAAGCTGGTTAGCTGAAATCATTTAAGAAAAAAGTTTCATTAACAATTCAGGACAAAGGATGTACTACTATCTATAGAGGACATGAACAGTAATTTTCAGTGACCTCATAAGAGGAGAGCAATATATTTCTATTGGAAAAATCCATACATACTATCCCCCAGTGTTCGCTCCTCTTCATCTTATACCAGGTTTTCTGAAGATGAAGGCTCAGTCCAGGTCTCCCTTTATCTCCAACAAATTTGCTCTCCTAATTCTTGACTTTTTATGACACTATCATTCTAAATATTCCATAGGCAAAAATAACTAAGTGCCAACCTTTCTCAAAACTGCCACTTTTTAAAAAATTCTACAGAAAATAAATGAACAATCTTGACAAATAAATGTAGAGTCACCCTCCACTACTGATCTGTCTTCCTACTTACATCTTTCAAAAGATTTTAAGTTGTCTTAATAAATTGTTCGTCATAACAATCCAGTTGAGACAACTATGCCAGTTAGTATCACTCCCGATAGCAAAGTTAAGAAACTGGGATTCAAGGGCCCTTCCTGGTGGCACAGCTTTAAGAAACTAAAGCCACTTCAGCATGAATTCGATCCCTGCCTGCCTTTCCAGGAGGTGATCCACATGGCACAGCAGACCTCTCCTGGCCGCCAGCTGCTCCTCTCAGCAGTGCACTTCATCAGTCTACCTGTTCTGCTCCCCACTCTGTCTCTGGTAATCCTTTCACCGCCCCTGCATCTCCTGGCTTGTACCCCAGCTCTGTATGCATAAATAAATAAATCTTAAAAAGAAAGAAAAGAAACTGGGATTCTAAGGGCCCTCTCTGGTGGTGCAAAGGGTTGGAGCATAGCACTGCAAAGCTGACCGCAGCCCCCTCAGCACAAGTTTGGTCCCCGGCCAAGAAGGGGACCCACATGGCGCAGCAGACCTCTCCTGTCTCACCCACTGTTCCTGTTGGCAGTGCACTTTTTCAATCTGCCTATTCTGCTCCCCACTCTGTCTCTGGCAGGTCCTCTCACCACCCCTGTAGCTCTGGCCTATCCCCCAGTTCTGTAAGCATAAATAAGTAAATCTTAAAAAGAAAGAAAAGAAAACTCCAAATTAAAATAAGAAAGAAACTGGGATTAAGAAAGGATAAGTGTCTTGCCCCATTCAAAATCAACAGTGAGTTTTAAACCTACTGTGACTAAGTGAGATTTTATTATTTGTTTCCAGAAGGTATCCCACTCTACGCTTATATTATATGGAAGGCATATCATAGGAGATTCTGCAGTTGTTAAAAAGAATCTAGAACCCTGGGCTCTCCCTGGTGGTGCAACAGGTTAAAGCACTGCATTATGAAGCACTCCCACGCCACTGCAACACTAGTTCGATCCCCACCAGGGAGCTGACCCACATGGCATGGCAGACCTCTCCTGACCCGCCCACTGTACTTGTACTTTGCAATCTGCCTGTTCTGCTCCCCTCTCTATCTGTGGTGAATCCTCTCACCCACCACACATCTGGTCTGTACCCCAGTTCTATAAGCATATATAAATAAATCTTTAAAAAAAAATCTAGAACTCTTAATATATCTATATCAAAGGAATAGTAAAAATATATCAACAAGTTTGACATGAAATAATTATTAGTGGTTTATGAGATAACTAACAAGCTGAGACAAACTACTAGTGGCTAATGAGAGGTACTAAAAAACCATGAGAATAACAAAGTCACTGAATAAAGTAATCTGGGAAAGTTTTAGGGATAGCTGACATTTTAGCTTAAGAGACAGACTTCTTCAATAAATTCTGAGAGAAGGACAATAAAGACAAAAAAATGCTTGAGCAGATCCTTAAGGCATATATTTGAGGTCTGCTAGATAGATTGCTACACCAAAAATGCAGATACCACAGGGAAACACTACATCAAAAAGCAAGCTAGCAACAGTTTCCAGAATCTCTGATTTCTAAAAACAAAGTTCTAATTAAACTCACTAAGAAATATGGGAGAAAATTCTGATAAATAAAGCAGGAAATAAAGAGAAATTACAAAAGACATCTCAGAAATACAGAAGATCATAGGAGACTACAATAAGCAACTTTATGCAAACAAATTGGAAAATCTGGTAGAAGTGAGCAAATTCTTAGAAACATGCAACCTTCCTAGACTAATTCAGGAAGAAATAGAAAACCTGAACAGACCAATTACAAAGGGAAATTAAAATAGCAATCAAAAGTCTCCCGCAAAATAAAAGTACTTATTCAGACGACTTCACAAGTGAGTTCCAGCAAGCTTTAAAGAGGAGCTAAAACTTATTCTTTACAAAGTCTTCCCAAAAATTAAAGAAGAGATGCTTCCAAACATTACTAAAACAAACAACAAACAAAAAAAGAAACTAAAGATCAATATCATTGATTAACAATGCAAGCTAAATTCAACAATGCATTAAAAGGATCATAAGTCACAACCAAATGGGATTACCAAGCTATGTAAAAGAGTTGAAGATATGCAAATCAATATAATTCACCATATAAGCAAAAAGAAAGATGAAAGTCATGAGCATATCAAAGATACAAAAAGAATCTAACAAGGTTCATAATCAATTTTTAAAAATTCAGTAAAATGGAGATAGAAGGAACAGACCTTACCTATCTAAAGATCACATATGACAAACCTACAGCTAACATCATATTCAATGGTGAAACACTGAGAATTTTCCTCTAACATTAGGAATACACAGGAATTTCCACTCACAATATTCAGCATAATACTGGAAGTCTTACCTAGAGCAATTAAACACAGAATCTAAATTGGAAAAGAAGCAAGAGGAAGATACACACAGAATCTAAATTGGAAAAGAAGCAAGAGGAAGATATACACAGAATCTAAATTGGAAAAGAAGCAAAACTATCACTATTTGCAGATGACATAACATAAATAGAAATCCTTAAAGATGTCACTAAAAAAAAAATCAAAATAGATCAGTAAAGTGACATGCTACAAAATCAGTTGTACTTCTGTACACAAACAACAAACCAGAAAAGAATAAGTCAAGAAAATAATCCCATTTATACTAGCATAAAAAAAATTAAAAACATAAGAATAAATCTAACAAATGAGTTGAAAAGACTGTTCAAAGACTGTAAGGCATTGTTAAAAGAAATAGAAGACACAAAGAAATGGAGATATTTTTGTTCATGAATTGGAACAGTTAATATTATTAAAATGGACATCCAACACAAGGCAATATATTGACTCAGTGCTTTGTTTCAATGAAATTCTTCAAAGAAATAAAGCAAACATTACTGAAATTTACAAGGAACCAGAAAAGAACTTGAATAGCCAAAACAATCTTGACAAAAAAGGAGAATCGGGGCCCTCCCTGGTGGCACTGTGTGTTAAAGCGTAGCACTGAGAAGCTAAAGCCACTTCAGCATGAGTTCAATCCTCGCCCCGGAGGTGATCCACATGGTGTGGCAGAACTATCCTGACCCGCCCACTGCTCCCCTCAGCAGTGTACTTCCTCAGTCAGCCTGTTCTACTCCCCACTCTGTCTCTGGTGAATCCTCTCACTGTCCCTGCACTTCTGGACTATACCCCAGTTCTGTATGCATAAATAAATAAATCTTTTTTTTAAAAAAAAAAAAAAGGAGAATGGAGGCATCATACTCCAGACAGGAAACTATACTACAAGATTAGAGTAATAAAATCAGTATGGTATTGGAATAAAAACAGACACATGACCAATGAAATAGAATTGAGAGCCCACAAATAAAGCTAATTTATGACAAGTGATCCAAGAATAGACAATGGAGAAAGGAAAATCTCTTCAACAGATAGTGTTAGGGAAACAAACATCTTACCATACACAAAAATTAACTCAAAATGGCTTAAAGACTTGGATGTAAGATGTTAAACTATAAAAAACATAGAAAATACACAGGCAAAATACTCCATGGCATTGGCTTCAGGGGTATCTGGAGACTTGACTCCAAAGACAAGGGAAACAAAAATTGAATTGAACAAAAGGGACTACATCAATTTTTAAAGCCTTTATGCTTTTCAAACTTATTAAAACAAAAAGACACACTACTGAACGGGGAAAAAAATCTACACCTCATGCATCCAACAAGAGGCTGCTATCCAAGATTATGAAATTAAGCCAAAAGAAAATAAAGCACCCCCCCCCAATTATTGACAGAAGAACTAAACAATATACACAGTCAACAGGCACATTAAAAAATTTTTTTCAGAGAAATGCAAATCAAAACCACAGTGAGATACTATCTCACTCCTGTGAAAATTACCCATATCAAAAAGACCAGAAACAAGTGTTGGCAAAGAGGTGAAGAAATGGAATCTTTGTACACCATTAGTCAGAATAAAGACTGGCTGAACCACTATGGAAAACAATATGGAAGTCCTCAAAATATTAAAAATGGATATATCATATAATCCAGTAATTACATTCCTTAGTATTTATCCAAAGAAAGAAAAACACCAATGTGAAGTGATATATGTACTTTTTACCATAATCAAATTATAGAAATAACCTAAATGTGGAAGGACAGATGAGTAAATTAAGATGTGGTTTATATACACAATGGAATACTACTCAGCTATAAAAACAGATGAAATCTTCCCACTTGTGACAACATTGTTTTAACTGGAGGGGATTATGCTAAATTATATAAATCAGAAGAAAACAGACCATTACCAGGTGATTTTACTCATATGTAGAATACAAAGAAACAAAACAAAAGAGCACATATAAAACAAATTCTAATATCTGACTGCAGAATTGAGGCTACCAGAAGGGGATATGAAGACCTTCTGGATTATAGTAGAGGATTACAGCTGTTTTGGTGTGGTGATTGATATTTGAAGAGATATGAATCTATTCCTTAAATCATGCTATAAACTTATGTTACCTCAATAAAAAAAAAGTGTTACAGAAAGAAAGAAATTTTGATTTCTGAATAGGTAGTGCAGTCACTGATGTTCTGAATTGTAAGGTAGCATGTTCAGTAGGTGTTCTTGCTATTATATCTGGGGTGGGAAGAGTGCACTGGACTATGGTGATGGCACACGGGGGAACTGGTGTAGGAAGCCCATGGGGATTACAACTGAGATGAAAAAAATGCACAAAGAATGATATATTTTAAAAAAAAAGAATACCAGGGGAAGATGTTATGTTCACAGAAAAGGCAAAATGTCAGTGAGGCCCACTCTGAGGAAAAGTGAAATCGTTGAAGGTTTTGAGTAAAGTGATATGATGTATGTTTTAAAATTATCACAGAATTGGGAGACTACACAACAAAACTTATCAACTAATGGGCAGAAAAGAATCTCAGTACATAATAACACTGAGAACGTGAACTGGGAGAACAGAAATAGCTAACGAAAATGAAGAATAAAAAGAGGAAGAACAAACAAAGATATCATGATACAATGAAACTTGCAGAAAACACTTCAATTTTCCTTAGATGAGGAACACTTTGAGTTTAGAACTTTCTTTAATCAAGAGCTTTTAGTTTATGTGACACTTTATACTGTGTAAAAATATTTCCAGATCCATTATTTCCTATAATATAGTAGTATCAAAGCTAAAAATGAAGCTTACAGATCACTCAGTTTAAAAAAAAAAGAAAAGAAAAAGAAAAAGAAAGCCTAGGCTTCCATTTGGGTCATCACAAAACATGACCAAAGTCTTGCAGCTCTTCAATAGTACAATCAAGGCCAAAAGCCAAATCTTAACATGTTGCCTCTATGAACAATGAGCACTAGGATCCTCAAATCATGCAATGGGACACTCAGGTCCAAGCAGGTCAAGTAGCACATTAGATTCACACATAAGGAAAAAGAACAGCCAAAGTGAAAAATCCAACTATCAATACCTAATCCAAAACTAATCAAAAAGAAGCAATTTTTTTTAGAAAATGTCACTCTATAATTTGTTTTACCTATCACATAATAGCATACCTTACTTCTAAAACATCTGCTTGATTTTTAACTTAAATGTCTGCAATCTAAGTCCTGATGCTTTTTCATAGGTAAGTGCGAGCTACTAAATTATAAGCAGGCTTATATTTATGAAAGATGGACACAAGACAAGAGACAGAATAGTAAGTTTGCAAGCTTCTGAAATGGCAAAAGAGAAGGAAAGTCTGAAGCAGAGCAGTAGCAGAAAAGAAACGACATACTAAACATTAGACTCACTAATTGGACCATAAGCATGAGGGAATTGCAGGAATCAGAAAATAAGAAAAAGTAGAGTCAAGGATGAACCCACGTCTCCAGGCTGGGTAGTTTATAGTACTACCTACTAAGATACACAAGATGAAAGAAGAAGGTTTGGGAAAAAGATTGTCTGAGAATAGATTAACACTGAGGTAACCTGACATGGTCAGGTACAATGTCCATCAAGGAGTCAGATGTATGGATTTGGTATTTAGGAAGATGTCAGAGCTAAAGACTGAGATGCAGTGATATATAAATAATAAATATTCAACACAGTTACCTTATTTTTCTTGAAAGTTCTTTTTTATAAAGTTTTTATATGTCTAAAACAAATGTAATTACTTACTCTAACCAATGCCTTACATATTTGTATTTTGAAAACAATAACCCTTCTTTACTGAATTTAGTATACCTACCAGTGCGTAACCCTCTTCATCTGATTCAGGCTGAGACAAATCAGATTCACTCCTCGATTTGATCAGTCTATAATTTGGACTTGCGTGGACTAGCCGGCTCTCTGCAGTAAGACTTTCACTCCTGTCTCACATGCACAAAGAAAAGTTTTTTGATTTGGGAATGTTAGTGAACAAAATTGAATGGAACTAGCAAGAGAGATAATATCTACATACATACACACACACACATACACAGTGAAGAGTAATTATGTCTATTGATGGAGAATAATGACTCTTATGTAAGCACAAAGGCCTTCTCAACTACATCAAATTAATTAACAAGCCACTAAATTACATAGATGCAAATAATTTTATAATTTTCAATTACTGTTGTTCATATGTGTGAAAAAATTTTGCTTCATCATCTAATCACAAATCTTTATTTCAAATCAAATCAGTACATTATTATTAAATTCTGCATTATTTTAAATTCAACCTAGTCAATTTATATTTCTTCTTCCAGGACTGTGTTAATTTCAGAAAAATAATTTTGAGAATAAACCATTTCATCACATTAAGTTAAGAATAATATTTTAAGTTCCTAGTCAGTCGCACCTGGTCATAAGTCCACCCCCTTCAGAGGTACTTGTTGATGGCTGCTGCAACTGTCCTTCTTCCCTTCGCTTCTGAAGCTCATCTATCACAGGACTTACTCCTAATATTAACAGGGCACAGCGATGGATCACAGAGTTGCAGGCAGCAGTGTACACATCCTGACCCTCAGGAAGGTCTGTGCTGACCCTTCGCTCTTGCTGGGACTGAGGAGGTGGATCATCAGCTCGAGTCCCAGACCCTGCCCCACTGTTCATTCTATCTCGATCTCGGCTACGAGCTACTTCACGGGCTGAGAGGAAACACTGAAAGATTTCTGTAACATGCAACACAAAAACAAGGTCTTAACACATGGGGAGAGAAGAGCAAAGAAAATAACAATAAAAATAGTCAAAAAGTTTGGACCAAAAACTTACTGAAGGGGCAAAAGCTATTTTTTAAACATTAAATACAACATAGTAAACTAAGGTAAAATTACATGAAAATATATGTAAAATATTAAACTTTTCGATAAAATTGCAATAGGAAACACCATTACCTTTATAGAACTTAGATTTGGTTTACCTTATTTCTATGCTAAAGAGCATCTTAGTAGTTATCAAAATGTTGTTCCAGACTTAACAAGAATAGAATTATCAAGAATAGCTGGGTTTGCTAGAAATACAATTTATCAAACCCACCCGAGGCCTTCTGAATCAGAAGCTATAAGCATGGGGCTAGCAATCTGTTTTAATAAACCTTTGAGCTGATTTTTAAGTCCACCAAAGTTTGAAATGCAATAGGTTAGGTTAAATAATTGCCTATTTCAGAAATGTTCATGACTTTGGTATGAAAAATGTCAGGTTACAAAAATAAAGAGATAATATTTAAGTTACATTAATTATAATAAAAAGTTCCCTTTCCCCTTCCAACATCAATATAATTCCTAACACCTACACTTTGCTATTCCTTGGACCTATTAAATTTAAGTACAATTACTAAAGTCTTTGCTAAAAAAGAGCCTGTTTATAAATATAAAGATAAAGTTGCCTCCAGAGTCAAATGGCATCACCCAGAATGTCTACCTGATGTTAGGCTTTCCCAATTCATAAGTGTAAAAAGTGAATTGGTTTATCTACTACAGTGGTAGAAATGTATAATAAGAAAATAATTTTTTGCTCAAATTTAGAGTGAAGGTGTTCTTCTTAATGAGGAACCCAGGCAGAGTGTTGGTAACACAGAAATACAAGCTTTTAAAACAGATCTGTGTGTTTTATAGAATTATGATGATGACATTTTTATTATGCTGTTGAAATTCCCTTATTTCTATTTTTTAAAAAAATTAAAGCAACAATCTTAGTGTCCGAAGTGGGAAATCAGTTAAAGTAATTAAAAGATAAGTTCTGTACAGACCTGATTCTACTACTAATTGTGGTACATACATAATCTTTCCTCATCATGTCAGTCTATCCATCAATAAAATAGGATAATATTAGAATTTATCTCCTAAGACTGCTGTAAGGATTAGAAGATGTGCCCCCATTGTTCACTCTATCTGGATCTCAGCAATGAGCTATTTCCTGGACTGACAGGAAACACTGAAAGATTTCTGGAATATTCTGTACACTGTAACTCACTCAGTGTCCAATAGATAAGAGGTGCTCAAAAATGGTACCTAGTTCATAGGATCTCCCTAGTGGCAAAGGGTTAAGTCTTAGCACTATGAAACTATTGGCAGCCACTGCAGCATGAGTTAGATACCTGGCTGGGAAACTAACCCACATGGCACAGCAGACCTCTCCTGTCTCTCTCACTGCTCCCCTCAGCAGTGTATTTCAGTCAATCCACCTATTCTGCTCTCCACTCTGTCTTTGGTGAATCCTTTCACAACACTTATACCTCTGGCCTAGACTTCCCCCCACCCCGACCCTGTTCTTGTATGCAGAAACAATAAATCTTTTTTAAAAAATTATACCTAGCTCAAAAATTAATTATTTCCTGGGTGAATATACCTTGTTATTGCATTTTCACTTTGGCATTTGCTTTCAGGAATTTCTAAACTAGATTTGAAGTTCATCCTCAAAAGTTCTGTTAGCCTATATTCTTTAAATATATTTATTCTCTTTCCTGACCTGTAAACCCCTTTTCTCCATTTGGACCTTTTTTTTCTTGTTTTCATGAGTTTTGGTCCTGTTTTGAGTCACTTCAAAATCATTTTTTAGAAGTATACAAAACATAAAGTGATAAAGTGACAGATTTATTGGTATATACAGTCAATCTCAATACCAAATCATAGCTAGCCATGTTTGAGGATACAAAGTAAAATACACACTCTATTTGAAATAGAGAAATCACTCCAAAGATGTTAACAAATATTTTTAAAAGTTTTGAATCTTCTCTATAAACACCTAAAAAGATCACCTCTAAAAATTATCTGTAGCCTTGGAATATCAAGGTATGAAAAGTTTTATTCGCCCAGCCAACATTGTCCTTCATGTACTTGTTTCTCTACTAAAAACAGTGGGTGAAATTTATAATTTCAAAATTTCTACTTATGGAAAAGAATTGAGCTCTCTTAATATGTATAAAAGGGGCATTCTTCATCAATATGCAGGTCAACTACACCAATATACAACTTGGTATCCCCCAGATACCAAGCAGAACAGTTACTATCCCCAAAATCCTGCTTCCAGAACTTTTCAGTTAAAAATATGAAATTCCAATAGCTAAAATATGGAACTAGCATAGTTATAGAGCTGAAAATTGCTAATGTAATTCATATCACCTGTAGAAAATCAGATCAGTAAAGAAAGTATACTCACTGCCAGCTGTCATCACTTCATGTTCACGTTCTTCCTCTTCATCCTCTGGTTCTGGATGCCCCTCCTCCCGGTCCCGCTCAGCCTGTTCTTCCATTTCAGCTTCTTCATCAATGGTCCGGGTAAATGAATGTTCCTGAGGATCAACATCTGCAGAGTCTTGATTTTCTGAAATCTTATAGAAAAGATCGGAGCTACAGTTAATAAACTTTTCAAAAAGTTTGAAAAACTTCATTAAAACCTTAACTATGTTTATCATTGTAAAATACTGCTAATATCAATAACATTAAGAATTTCACTTCAAAACCCCAAATACCCCGTAAATCTAAAAAGATTATAAAGCATCAGAGTGTGCACAAAACATATTCAGAAACACCTATATGCTCTACCTTCCATAGTATTTATTAAAATGCCATGTTATAAATTGATTCATATATTTACATATATGACGCTAGGCAGTTATACATTCCTACAAAGCTGTAACTTGAGTTGAGTATATTGGTCACAAAGATCTACAAAGAGCTCACACCATACACCCCAACAAAAACAAAGTAAACAATCCAGTCAAAAAAATGGGCAGAATAGCTAAACAGACACTTCTCCAAAGAGGAAATGCAAATGATCAACAGGTATATGAAAAAAGTATTCACAATCACTTATAATCAGGGAAATGCAATGAAGTACCACCTTACACCAGTGAGAATGGCAGATATTAAAAAAATAACAAAAAACAAGAAACAACATATATGGGGAGAATGTGGAGAAAAAGAACTCTTCTCTACTGCTGGTGGCAATGCAAACTGTTCCAACCACTATGGAAAGCTGTGTGGAAGTTCTTCACACTACTATAAGTGAAGCTTCCATATGACCCAGCAATTCCATTCCTGGGAATTAACCCAAGAGACACAAAAACACTAATTCAAAAAGATACTTTCACTATGTTACTGCAGTACTACTTACAATAGGTATGACACGGAAACAACTCAAATGCGCAAAAGCTGATGACTGGATCAAGATGTGGTATATATGCACAATGGAATACTATTCAGCAATAAAAAAGATAAACTCATGCCATTTGAAGCAACATGGATGAAACTGGAAGGGAGTATGCTCAGTGAAATAAGTTAGAAGGAAAAATAAAAATATTGGATGGCTTCACTTATAGGAGGAATGAAAGGGAACCAAATAATGGCTCAGGAAAAAATAATAACAATAAAAACAAAATTAGCAGGCAATTATAAATCAGAGACATTCTGCAGGGGAGAGGGATGAAGAGGGGTCAAAACAGGATAGGAAAAAGCACAGGGACTATGGCAATAGTGTTGGGTGAATTGGTGGTGGGAATTTTATGAGGACTACACCTGAGAGGAGAAAGCAAATATTGTACAAAAATGATGTGAAATAGACTTAAATAAGTTATTTTTTAAGAAAAATGAGTTGAGTATGACATCAAGCACAAAAGAACCGTAATTTTTATTCCATTTAATCTTCTTCAAGTTATGTATATTTTTACTCTATACATGTTTATTACTTCTAAGTTTAATACAATATTTTAAAACTTTTTTTTGGTAGAATATTAAAGTGCTCAACAAATTTCAAATATACAAACAGTATATTATTTTTATTTTTCTTTATTTTGTTTGCCCTTGAAGAAACAAAAATTAATAACTTGGCAGGGACAATGTAAATTTATTTTCCCCCATGGTGGTTATGCTACCTGGCAGTCATTTACAGGAATGAGTCTACAGGAAAGAGTTTTTATAACTGGTGCTAAGACAATTTGGAATACTGTAACCCTATACCATTTCCCCAACAAATTTCACTATAAAATGTTAATGAAAATGTCTAATAACATCCTCAGATGGATAATAAAGGATGTATGATAAAATGTTGTGATCCATGACTACATTTTTCTTATTACAGAGCTGGTGCTAACTTAGCAGTGCACTAAATTTACGTATATCATTTATCCCTATAATTCTGAGTTTCAAATTTGAACCTCAATAAAACAGGAAATAAATACATTTCATGAACTTTGAAGGTCACTAAGCAAAACAATCAGATCCATGACAAAATAATTTTATAATACAGTTGCAGAGACAGTTTGATTTTCAAAATCTAAGATTTATATAATGGAGTACAAAGCACATAAAGTGTGAAGTTTCAAAGTAAACATTTCAAGTATTCATGTGTTATCCAGACTTATACTTAAAGTTATAGGCACATGCTATACCAAGAATTTTAGAAATCATCTCAGTTTTGTCAATAGAATCACTTCTGAACCATCTTAAAAGACTTCAATTTTCACTTCCAGTTGAGGACAATTCTAATCATTACTAGCCTTTCTCTTTATATTCGGCTAACTACCATTCTGCATTCATCTGTTACCCTATGGGCCTACCTGTTCACTCTGAGTAACATGGAACATAGTTCATACACAGAAGTTCTTTTAAGCAGTTATAAGGCAGCTACCACATGATTCCCACCCCCTGCTCTGTCATTTTTTTCATCTACATCTCTCGGCTGGCCATTTTTCAACCTTATGATTCTTACATAAAATGGCTTTGAACTCTTTACCAATCTTAGGTATTTTATTATTCTCTCATAAATTATGGCATTCCAAATTAAATAAAATAATTCATACGTAGCCTACCATAAAATAATGAGATAATATTTCATGACTTGGACAATTCAATTTGTTGTGACTATATAGCCTAAGAATACATAAACTTTCTTAGCAGCCATATCATACTTGATAAGTATAAAGTTAAATAAATCCATAATCTTTTAGTCATCCACTTTTTTCAACAGAAAAAGTATTACTCAACATTTAGAACAACTGCAATAATCAAGGCACATTGCTGTTTCTCACATAAACCAAAATGGTGTATTCTCTCACAGATTGCAGAAAAACATAGAAATTAATTGACTTTCAACTTTACCCATCTGTCTCGTGATGATGACCTGGTCTGAATAAGTTCAAGGTTCTTGCAAGCAAGTAAACGACTTCGAACTTTGTACACACAACGGTACACTTCTGATAAGCTTTTACCAGGTTGATATCTAAATAAAGAACCAAAATGGAAAAGTTACCGAATTTCTAACATCATGAGAGCAAATATTTGTCTGAGGAACAGTTTTAAGTTACTTGCCGGCTTTCTCCACATGCTTGACTAAGTAAATTTGTGTGTTTCAGAAGAGCTGCAAGAACAAATCTAGACACAGTGTCCAAGAGTGACTCGTTACTCAAAGTTGCACTGTCCCAATCTGGAAATAAAAATGATGTATTAACATTTAAAAAGGCTCAGAAAACAGTTTAGAGATAAGTTTAATAGTTTTAGTAATCCAACATCTGGATTTTATTTTTTCTTAAACAGTTACTTAACAAATACACCCACTAGATCCCCTATGTTAATCCATGTGTTTGACAGCAAACAGAACTAAGTCTCTGATCTCACAGAATTCTTATTTTAGTAGGCGGAGGAGAAAGACAATAAATAAAAATCTCAATGTGATAGATAAGTACTATGGAGAAAAACTAATAGGGAAGGAGAACAGAGGGGTAGTATGGGATTACTACTTTATATAGGACAGTTTGAAGAAGTCACTGATAAAGTTCTTAAACAGAGATCTTGGAGGAGGTGAAGATGTCAAAGAGAAACAGTGTCCCCTCACAAAGAACTAAGGCAAAGGCCCTGAGGTAGTTTCAAGGAGATCAGAGTGGCTGGAGTAAAGTGTGTAAGAAACGTTAGAAAGCAGGCTGGGGACTAGATCACATAGGACCTTGCAGACCACTACAAGTCCTTTAGGTTTTACTCTAAGGGAAATGAGAAACACCACCAAAAGCTTTTGAACAGAGATAGGACGTGATCTGACTTGTATTTTGAAAGGCTCATCCTCATTACTGAGTGGAGAATTTGCTATAGGGATACCAAAGAAGTACTTACGGCAGTAATTCAGGTGAGAAATGATGATGGCTCACCACAATAGCGGAAGTAAAGGTAATGAGAAGTGTATAATGATCCTATATACTATTTTGAATGTAGAGTTGAAAGAATTTGGTGAGGGATCAATGTGAAAATGAGAAAGGTCACAGCTAACTACAAACGTATTTAGAATGTAGCTGGCATCAGAGAAGAAGACCATAGGAAGAACAGTTCAGGGGTATGAAGATGGAATAAGGGGTTTAGTTCTGAATACTGTCTATCATACAAGCTAGTGGAGATGCTGAGTGCATTGATTGATATCTGGAATCTGAAATCATGAAAGCAGCTATTGTGTACTTAAGTGGGTAAAAAATGAAGCAACTGGACAAAGATGAGAACAATTGAAAATGCATATCACAGGATTAAATAAATAGTAATCAGATGTTTTCTCTAAACACATGCACAATACTTTAAAAATACAGTATATTCAGTAGATTCCAAATGGGTGTGGGAGGTTTATTATTTACTCCAATTCAAGAATGTTCACTGGACTATGTTAATTTGAGATTTACTGTGCTACTTAAAAATATGCCAAACAAACAAGAAACAACTTTGGAAAAATATTAAGTCCCAAGTTATTTTATTTATTCTCAATTCTTTTTTAAAATTCTTATCTCAAGAAACATTACATTGGAGGACTATGGGTGCTTTCGGAGAGAGGGCTATGGTAACTACTCTTTTAAGGCAAGGGCATATCCCATACTGTCAAAACACTGGCAAGGATGTAAAACAATGAAATCTCAGTAACAATAAAATAAACTACATCTTGGTTTTCCAGTCATTTTTACAAGCTTAGATAAAAAATTCAGACTTACCTATCTTACATGTGATAAAAACTATAAACATGCCAGATCTTAAAGAACATTTTACAGCCCACAGAAAATCCTAGAATAACAGTTGTATAACATACAAAATTTTCTCATATGCCACTTGAGAGATGATCCGCACCAACGAATTACTTCCTACTCTTAAAACCAAAAGGACTTAAAGTCAAACAAAACCCATTTCAAGGAAACTAATGTTCAATTTTAAAAGTAAACTAATCTTTTTCCTATATTTCAAATTTAGCAGGGATTATCCTCCTATACTTTTTTTTTTTTTTTTGGTAACAGGTTCTTTTTAAAACAGCCTTAATAAAGTTATGGTCATTTCATACCAAGCACTACAGAATATCTTCACTATTTATAAAAGTTATAAGGTCTAGGCTACCGTGAAGATAAGTAATTAGAAAATGTACTAAGAAAATGAGTTTTTAGTTTTTAGGCAAGGGGATATCCTATACTGTCAAAACACTAGCAATATTTTATGATTTATCTACTTTTTCTTTCTAGGTGTAACTGTAACTGACCACATGTTTACAACTACTTTTTAAAAGTTCTCCTTGCAATGGAATAAGTGATAATATGATATAAAAAGGAAACCTAACTGCATACTGAAAGAAAATGATTCAAATATGAGAGTATCAGAAAATGAAATTTAGAAAGTAAACATTTTTCCTTCTCATTACCATATTTTTGCACATCTGGATGACTCAACACAATAGAATAAAAAAGAAACAAACTGGATGAGATAAACTTTTAAAGGTTTCCCTCTCACTGGTGTTTTAAAGATCTGAAAAAGTACTTCATGTCTTTTTCAGTATACAAAATAAAAGACAACAGAAGGTGAAAATGTATTTACTTTTAACAGTTTTAACAGAGAAGGACGACAACCCAAAGAATGGCGGAAAACTAAAGAACAGAGAATAAAATGGAGAAACATAACAATGTGATTCTGAACAGTCCAGACGATTGCTATAAGGGAAACTTGGGGATGAAAAAGAAATCAGGTATACCCTTGGAAAACTTGTACATAAAATTAATTTTATTAATCAAATAATATTAGAAAATGAAAATATCACTATATACTTGCACAGTACTTTATTAATTTATTTAGTATAAATTATCTGGTTTTTTCATCTGCACTCTGAAGTGGGCAAATGTTTTACAGAGGAGGAAATGGACCATGTCTAGACTTACACATATATATCCTTTAATTTCTTCCATAAGGGCTTGCTCTTTAATGAGATGACTCATTAAACAGACTCTTATACTAAATCTATTTACACTGCATGGAATATATCAGTAAAATGTTTGCCTCTGAATTTACCTTTTATATAAATTGCAATTTCCCTATAGTGGGTCTGCTTCAAATGAGATATATGTATATACTTTTAAAAAAACCTAAGATATTTTCCACAAAGAAAAAAAATCAAGTTTTTATTAACATTGTTTATAGAATATCTGTTTCTATAAAAAGTAAAAAAGTGAGTCCTGTGATTTTCTATTAACATACATTACATATACATTTGTTTGAACTATACACATATTTACTCCTTTTATCCTCTTCATCTTACCTTTACTAACAGCATAATCCTGCATGCTGATCCAAAGACTTTGTGCAGGTTCTTTTGAACAACCCAATGCCAAGTCTACATAGACAGCAATTTCAGGCCGTAGTTTATAATCAAAAGGCTTTTGTTCTTCATTTCCTGAAAGAGCTACTTCTAATAGGCAACTCATACATTTATCTAAAAAAAAAAAAAAAATTTAATTCAAGCTATCAATTTTAAACCTGGTAAGTTGTGGTTACAAATAAAATCTTATATTTAATGAATACACATAAAATGATACACTTTAAGTCACTTTAATTACATGCCATAAAAGTCAAGTTCTTTGAAACTTCTCAAATTCCATCCTCTCCAGAAGGATGTGTAACTAAATATGATACTCTAGTGCAGAGTTCTGGCATTTCATTAGGCAGGGACCAGGTATGCCAAATATCTTACACTAGCAATGCTGTCTAAAATAACAAAATATTCCCCTGTTCAAAATGTAATGGTAACATATATTTGAAAAAGATGAACCTATATCTCTGATATATGGTGTTGCAAATCAATTACCTCAATACCAAAAAAAATAAAAAATAAAAAAGTAATGGTATCCTTGTTGAGAAGCATGGGGCCATTGGAAAAGAGACAAGAATTTTTCCCCTAAGCTTAAGGAAAAGCCATCAGTTAAGTACAATTCAGGAGAGATCAAAGATACCATTAATAATTTCTTAATTGCAGGCTCTCCCTGGTGGCGCAACGGGTTAAAGCACTGCATTATGAAGCTCTTTGACGCCACTACAGCACAAAATTTGATACTCCTGCCAGGGAGCTGATCCACATGGCGTGGCAGGCCTTTCCTGACCTGCCCGCTGCTCCCCTCAGCAGTGTATTTCAGTACATCTGCCTGTTCTGCTCCCCACTCTGTCTCTAGTGAATCCTCTCACCTACCACACCTCTAGCCTGTACCCCAGCTCTGTAAGCATAAATAAAAAGAAAAATCTTAAAAAAAAAAAATTCTCAATTGGTATTTACATTTGTACAGGTGGCTCCTAACTTTTCAATGCAATGGCATTCAGAATTAATTTCCATTTTAAAAACAAACAATTCTCTAAATCATCATCAGATTCTTGAGCTAATACCAAAAGTAAATTTAACCCAAAGTATAATTGGATTATAATATAGCCATAATTTTACAATGGACAATACTCCTCCTGAGTAAAGAGAATGTAACAGAAATATGAGGGAGATAGACATATTTTGCCCTCTGAGAATATTTGGCAATATCAGAGAGTTAAACATATAGCAATGGAGTCACCTTTATAATGTTAAATATTTTTTTTTGAAAAATCATGATTTTTACCTTTCTGACACAAACTATTCACAAGTACCAGTCTAACATTCATCACCCATGGCCAGAATCAGTTCCTGGTTCATAAATGAAATGATGAATAAATACTCTGATTTAGAAAATGAAGATTTAAAATCTTCAATATCTCTTCTTACTCCCAATCTCTAACTCTCCAAACCTGAAAGCAGAATTTTCCTGATTTTTGTCCCGGTTTCTTTTTTTCATTCTCTCTAGATTATGATTCTCTTAGACTTAGATAGTGCTTCCCTTCTTGGACACTCAGTCTCTTTCTCTTATCAGAGAAATAATGCATTTTAGTTCTGATAACTAAGTAGACTACCTAATCTAACTTAGTTTTTTGTTCATCAAAATTAGAGGCTAGGGAGTGTTCCCTGCTGGCACAAGAGGTTAAGTCTCAGCACTATGAAGCTATCAGCAGCCACTACAACACAAGTTTGATCCATGGGTAAGGAGCTGACTCACAATAGTGCAGCAGACCTCTCCTCTCTCAAATGCTGCTCCCCTCAGCAGTGTTTCAATACATCTGCCTGTTCTGCTCTCCCTCTAACTCTACTGGGTCATTTCACCTCCACACACCTCTGGCCTACACTTCAGTTCTTGTATGCCTAAATAAATCTTTTAAAAATGAGAGGCTCAACATCAAGTTAAAGAGCTTCTGCACAGCAAAAGAGACATTACTAAAAACAAACAGACAGCCCACTAATT